CCTGACACATTTAGCCTTTATAAAGACATCAAGCACTGGGCAGTTTCTCCCCCTTCCTCAGCCACTGGAACTGATCCCTGGAGAAACTCTTTTCCAACACATTGATTTCCAAACCCTCTCATCTCACATTCTAAGGCCGCTTTAGCTCTGTGTTTCAACGACAGCAGACTGAAAAACATCATCTTCTCAAAGGGCAAGGCCTAAAGGCACTCAGGCCACCAGCAGGAGGGCTGGGAGGATGAGTGTGGCACTTGGGATGAACCTCCCAGCTCTGATGACAAAGGGCTCACCTTTCCCTCAGATGCTCACACTCAGCAGCTGCCTTCAGGTGAACAATAACTTCTCCCTGACGGTTGTTACGACAATTCACTGCACTCAGAAGTAACTGAAACCTCCACAAAATGGTATTTAAGCAGAAAAAGGAGTCGTGGAAAGCATAACAAGTCTGAGCATGTGTGTCCAGGCAGGCAGAAATAGCCAGCCTAGCTCTGAGATTCCAAGGAGTGCACATGGAAAGTGGCCATTTAAAAACTAAAAGAACTAGAAAGAGAGGAATGTCAGTGTTTTAAAAAACGCTGGGAAAGGAAATCAGTGTCAATGAGAGACTGGGAGCATTTCACCTCAGGATATCTCCAGTTCAGTGCCAGCAACGTTTACAACTTGCTCAAAAATCAAACCATTTTGGCTGGAAGGATGACAACATGTTTACAAAAAAGAAAAAAAAATCAGCCAGAAAAATCCTCAAGAAATTAGCTCAGCCTTGATCTGGCCTGACCTGTCTGGTTTTGTGCCAATCCCACTCAATCAACTACTCCTTCTGCCTCAAGTGGGACTGTACCAAGAATATCACAGACACAGTTGCAGCCTAGTCCAAGTGGGATGGCTTTTGTTCCTTTGCATGTTGGATGCTTCAGACTGCCACAGATCAGGAGCAGATGGAGCATAGATTGCTCTGGATAGAACTCCAAATAAGTCTTTGGCTATGCAAGACACATAGATAGTCTCTGGAGACCCAATCCCGGAGCAGAAATTGTAAAGTTCCAGCTGAAGTCTAAAAATACAACACCTTTACTGACAAGCAAATGTCTCCCATGCTCATATTTAGCTCCTGTCCACATTCAGAGTGACTGCTGTTAAATTTGATATGACAACACATTGGTTTTGACCACACACTGGGACAGACATGTCACAAACCTGATCTGACACAGGTTTTATGGACAGCAAGGGAGGAATCTCACACACGTACCCAGGTTAACTATACAGGATAAAAAAAACCCCAAACAGATCAGGCAGTAAGACAGATGCTTTGTTAACTACCTCATATGAACTACTTAGGAAACAAATAAATTACCCAGTGAGTCAGATCTACTACCTTCTGAATGAAATGTTTTATCTACTCAATCAGATACATCCTCTCCCCAAACACAAACACAGGCAATGTGCCACCTGCAGGAACTGCAAACAACCACCAAATGGGATCAATCTGTCACAGCGGTTTGCTGGGGAGGAGGACCCAGTCTGTTATTCACCATCAGCACCTCACCACAACCAATCCCCTGCTCCCCCCTCAAAAATATCAGTAATTCGTGTGGGTTTCCTTGCTTGGAGAAAACAAACGACTCCCGAGCCCTCACAACTGCCACGAAGGATCACAGAGCCCAGGAGTGGTTACAAAACTGAGCCCTCCTAATGATTTCCTCTCAGTCACCACCGATTACACCCCCCCAGCAGAATCCCAAGACGTCGCTAATGATGGTGGAATCTGTCAGCGTGTGAGATGCCACGAGACTCGGTGAATTAAGCCCCATTATTGCCCTAAATTATAGATAAATTTCTCCCTCGCCTTGGTGATTTGCAACATATTTTGTCTGCGGGGCGGTCAGATGATGTCAGCACAAATTACTGCTCTCCACACGGCGCAGATGAGAGAACCAGAGGCACTAAAGAGACTTACCAGACCCAAATCTGAAGAGACAGAAGGAACTGCTTCCTATGACTTGGAAATAACAAATTCTGCTGTGGGGTGCTGGGTAAGGCAGAAGTAAAAAAACTTAATTTGGGATATCGGTGTAGCTTCAAGAGCTTGATATACCTAAAAAGAAAAACTGAAATTCGGATTCTTGCTCTGAATTACCAAAAATCCCCAAACAATAGAAGTGCCTGTGTTTAGACGCTCATATCTCTGCATTAAATATTTACTGATGTGCAATGCTGAGATATTAGGCTACTGTGTAGCAAACTAGGGAGCCCAATTTTCGGTTTGGAAAAGTAATGAATATACAGGGTCATTTAGGGTGTCTTTCTAAATGGTTTCCCGTTCTTTTAGTTTTTCCTGGTAGGCCCAAGTTGAAGGAAGGGCAGAGGAAACATTACTGGTTACATATTTGAGGAAGGTTCACAAGTTCTGTGGGAGGCAAAGTTTGCACATCAAGTAATATAAGCAGAGAAAAAACCCAATACGTGGCTCTATAAAGTTTTTTGTTACTTGGTATACAAACACTTCATTTACAAACCCAAGCCCCGGTAATTGCCTCGTTATCCGGCATAATTTTCACGATGGCCCTGCCGTGCACCGGCAGCCAAGCTCTTGGTTGCCATCTGCTGTTCCTGCTTTTTACGCGTCTCCACTTTCGTACAAATCTGCTCCCAGTGGCTGCTCCTTCCCCAGCTCAGCGGGAATAGAAGTCCCACATTAAAACAATGAAGTTTGGAGCCCCTCTCTGGGCAAAAATTAAGGCTGTGCCTGCATCTCCACCTGTGTTTTCACTTCCATCCCTCCCTGCACGGGAGCAGGAACAGATCTGACTTCACCCAAACACCTCCAAGTGGAGATTTCGTGCATCGTGCACTCCCATATTTATTTTATCTCCCTGCACATCTGTCCTGGCTGCATTTCTTTACATTTAGAAAGTTTCATTTTTCAAGAGTTTGGAGAGATCAAATACTCCCATGTTGTACATTAAATACAATCTCACTTAACTATCTCTCCTGTGCTGCACCAGCAGTCTGGGGACTTAGAAACTGCAGAAGCCTGAAAAATGGAAGTTGGATGTCCAACACCTTACCAGGCTTCTGCCAACCCTCAGCCTGCTTTTAACAGTCCTCACTCCCAGGTAGTGATGGGGCAGGTTGTTGTCCAAGATGTATTGACCACCTTAGCCATATCTGGATCTCGGTCTTTAAGGAGAAGGAAAGCCAGAAGGGATTCTGAAGTTAAAAGGCTGTCAATGATTCCTAGCGCTGCCAGGTTTAATCCACGGCAGACAAACCCAGCGTCCTTTTCATTCACTTGTTAATTAACAAACAAAAGCCTATTCGGTGGTAGAGGTGTAAATGTGGCAGCCAAAGTACTACAGGGCTCCCCTGCGTTTTGATGATTCTTTTTCATTCCTTGCCCTCCAAGCCTTTCACAAATCAGTTCATTCTTTGCCAATCCTTATCTCTGCTTTCCACCTGGGGAAATGGAGCAGTGCAGCCTAAAACCCTCTTTTTTCCTGCACTTTTGGAATCGGCTCATTTTGAAATGTAGCAGTTCCAAATAAAAAGGTGAAGCTCAAACAGTAGAACTGCCATTCACTCTCCTCCTGCTCCTCCACTTGGAGGGACGTGCAGATACAGAAGTTGTGATTTCCTCCCTCATGGGTGTGAGAGTGAAACCTTTGGACTCTGCCACGGACAGTTATGGGTTTGTTTTATTTTAGCCACACAAGTGACTCAGAAGATTAATCCACAAATGCCAATGCCTCATCCTGAAAGCCCCAGTGCACAAAAGAGCCATTCCTGTCCTGGCAGGGGCCCAGCACAGAGCTTCCAATCCTGGAACTTACATTGTTTTACATTGTTTTTTTTTACTTCAAAAAGTAAGAGCCCCCAAAAATGCCTATGCCCCACATAGGAACACACTGCTTTTGGTCAGGATGTGCACACATTTAGCCCCTTTTTTTTTTACTAACTTTATGCAAAATGCAGGCATTGCAGGAATGGCTATAGCTTCATTTACAACGTGGTCAAAGAATGCGTTGACTGCTGCCCTGCAACAAATCTCAAAGCATGTGAAAGGAAGCAAAAGAGAACAATAAAAAACAAAAGCATCAGCTCCAAAATAGCATCCTCCAGCTGCTGCTTTGGAGAACCCTCTGGCCTGGTTACACCCTCAGTACTCTACAAACACAGCACACCTGTCAGCTGACACAGCACATGGTGACAACTTTCAAAAATCAACCAAAAAAAGGAAAGCGTTGTTTTTCCAGGCGTGGCTTTGTCTGCCATCAGAGCAGAAAGGTGGCTTTTCGTTCGTCCCTAATAATTCATATTTTGAGCATGAAAACTGGAATCACATCCATTGCTAAAGAGTTACTATTACTAACATTGTCCCAGTGCTATCAGTGGCAATTCTCTGGAACATTTTGTGGGTTTGGAGCAGACTCTGATGTTTGAAATCCTAAAAGAGTGTTATTTACCTGACAATTTGGCAGCATCCACAGCTCTGTTTAGCACTGCCATTTGCAGTTGTGCCATCAAGGCAGCTGGTGTTGTGCCTGAAGGCATCTTATCACACATACCTGTAACAAACTGCTTCGAATCCATCTGGCAAGGCAAAGGGAACTACAGAGGTGCTACAGGAAACAGATTTTATGACATAATTACCACACAGATATAGTCCATCTCTGTAGGGTAAGCCTCTGGATGAAAACTAGTCCTCCAGTGTAAAGCATCTACTAATCCAGAAAGAGCTCCCTAAATTCCAAAGCTTTAGATGACAACAGACTAAATATTACACATATCCTTGCCCTTCCCACTGATTCCTGCGAACAGTTGTGAGGATACAGTTAAGGCTCATCCAGCTGACAGTTACTGGAGTTTTGTTTTGCCTTGCAGATTTTAAACTGGGCTACACCACAGCACTGTTAAACGAAGCTGCAACGGTGCAACTTAATCCAAAAACATCAGCACCGGAACGACTGAGCCATCACCCCCTCTAACAGGACTGTAAGTGCAGTTGTAAGGAAAAGAATTCCAGGGATGCAGAATGTTGGCTCCAGTACAGCAGTTCCAATGAGCTCATCTAGATACCGGTGAGAAGGGAAAACCAGGATTTTACCTGCAGAGCCTGCTGGATATTTGCAGAAGTCACTTGTAAGAAGCTCCATTCCTCAGCCAGGGAAGCCTTGCTGCTGCTGACACGAGCCAGGACTTTGGCAGGTACCATTAAGTTCACTCAGGCATGAGGTGATAGGAAAAATACCTGCCATTAGTTGACATTTTCTGTAGTAATTTTCAAGCAGAATGTGACAGCTGTTCTGCTCGTGCAGCAGTCAGTCTGTCAGTCCTACGTGTTCTGTAGGGTCACTATTTAACCAGCCAATTTGAAGCCTCTTACCAATCTAGTTTAGTTGTGACCTCAGCCCTGAACTCAGTATGGCAATTAATGGAAACTTATGGTGCCTTTCCACCTGGAAGCACTGATTTTTGCAGCAAACTGCCTGCACCTGCACTTGTCCCATTAAGGAATCTGGCTACACCCCAGGCTGCTTCCCCTCTAAAAGCTCCAGCATTGCTGACTGGTTCTTTTTTAATGCAAGCAGCAGCTTGAAATCAGCGTGATAAATCCACAAAAAACGGGGACTGCCACTTTCCCTGGGCACTCGAATATCTTGCATTCCTCATGCATCTAAAGAGCTCTGACACCCCAAGGCACGCAAAGCATTCCAGCACCAGGAACAGCCCCCCAGCCAGTTTGGGGTGGATGGCTCTCTGCCAGGCTATTCCCACGCTTGCACAGTGCATTAACATGCAAACCCAGAAAATCACATGTGCTAATGTCTATTAAAAAGAGTTTTCAGGACCTGAGCCTGATGAACAAATGGAATCCTGCAGCATCACTGTGGGGGAAAGGATTGCAGAGCACAAGGGATGAAGGGAGGCCTTGCGTGCTCTGTCAGAACACAAGAACACAAGTGGATGGCAGAGGAAGGAACGTGGCCAGTTGTGGTAATTCTGCCTGTCCACCTCGGTTCAGCAGCCAAACCAGTGCAAGCAGTGCATGAGCCGTGACCCTGTGATGACCCCCAGCTCCAGTGAAGCAATCCCAGCCTATTTTGTTATCCTTGAGCTGCTGCTCAGTTTGCAAGCACCAAGCAGCGTGGATGGCACAAGCAGGGTGACTTCAGGGGCCTCGCATCTGCTTCTTCTGTAACCGCTGCACCGGCACAGGGGCCGCGTTGGCAGATGGAAGATTTGCCTTGGGGGAGGAACAGGTCAGACATCAGAGAGTAAAAAATGCAGCAGCAGCTGCGTCTTCCCTCTCCAGCAGGCTGGTGCTTTGCTCAAACATCCCCTCAGCTCTGGAGAGCAATTCCCTGCACGTTATGAAACACAAGCCTGCCTGCCCAGCAGGCTCAGGAGTGCAGCAAGGGCTCTGACCCCACAAGCCTCTGACAAGGGACAAGCAAAGTGAGAAGCAAAGAGCAGAAAGCTGGGGACAAACACCGCTTGGCACACACCTCGCAGGGTCTGTGACTGCTTCAAGGGGGCAGTTTTCTGAGAGCTCCTTTTCTCCTTGCTGGTAATTAAATACTGGAGAAGGACACAGGAATAGTGTTGTATTTTCATGCAGTTAAGTCTGTTCACAGGTACTCGCTGGGACTGCACTGGCTTTTTTCATCCACGTAGATGACTTCTCCTGTTTGTCTCACTGAAACCATCCTACTCCCCCTCAGATCCCACAGTATTGAGAATCATAGAATAATTTGGGTTAGAAGGGACCTTTAAAGGTCACCTAGTCCAACCCACCCCTGAAATGAGCAGGGACATCTTCAACTAGACCAGGTTGCTCAAAGCCCAGTCCAACCTGACTCTGAATGTTTCCTGGGATGGGGAATCCACCTCCCCTCTGGGAAACCAGTTCTGGTGTTTCAACAGCATCACTGTAAAAAAATTCCTTCCTCAGATCTAGTCTGGATCTACCTCTTCTGGTTTAAAAACATCACTCCATGTCCCATTAAAACAGCATTTACCACCTTAAGGTCCCCTCAGAGCCTTCTCTTCTCCAGGCTAAACAATCCCAATTTAGACCAATTCCAGTGAAGGGATAGTGAAAAAGAGGGAAAAGGGATTGATGAAAGCAGAAAAATGACTGGAAATAACAGGTAGGAGCTAGCATAGGTGATCTCTGACACCAGGCTCAACTTAATACTTCTGAGTGTACAGAAATCATCAACCATCAATTCCTACGTAGTCCATAAAACACTGCATGTATATATATATATATATATATATAAATGTTCAGAAGTTATAAGGGATGAAAGTTGAGGGGTTTTAAGTTAAAACCACTATAAAACCTGAGAGATTATAAAAGAGGGTATTCTATTAAAGGTATATAAGGAAAAGTATTAAAGGTACAGGGAAATTGGCTGAGATTGCAGGTGAAGAAGGGTGAGAACATTCAAGCCATTCTCACAGTAGAAGGCTGTGAACTTTTATTTAAAGAACAGCTGGGAATCCTCAGTGGAGGATATGGCACAGCTGACATACCTGGAGTTTTCAGAGTAAGGGAAGGCAGCAGCACGAGCCACTTCATCAGAGCTGATGTGACAACTTGTTTCACCCAAACAGAAGTCCACACAGTGCTTTTCCATTTGTCTCCCTGAATCCATCCTCCTAACCCAAAGAAATGAGCCAGTAATAATAAATAGTCTGTTCAGAGAAGTTCCTCAGATTGTACACAGCACAATTACCACAAATTTTCGTAGGGTCTCTCTGTGTATTGGGCTACCTCCTTCAAGGACAACGCAGTAATAACATACTGGGAAAAGGAGGTGGCTAAAACCTCTAGGTTAAGGCAATGAGTTGTTCAACACTGTACTGACAGCTTGCCTAAAACCAGCAGCAGGTGACCTTCTCCAAACAACCCCAGTCAGGTGGCAACTGTGCCAGGTGCAGAAGTGTGGTGTGTTATGCTGAGAAATCAGGAGTGGCTCCATCCCAGCCAGGGTTGATGGGACAAGAGCAGAGCTGCATCCTGTGGCCAGTTGAAGCAGAGAGGAACCTCAATATGGAGACAAAACAATATTTAGAAGATTAACACCCTTTTTTTTTTTTTTTCCATACAGGACCTCAGGCTGGATAGAAAATATCCAGAGACTATATAAGATAAATACAAGATAGACTACAGTGCTTGCAGAGGGCACATCAGATCTTCCTGCCCCTTCCTTCTACTCAAATCCTCCCATGTGCAAGTCCCGTAACAAATGACACCCTACACTCTGCTGAACCCTTCAGCTTTAAAAGATGAATTTTATGGGGTCTCTGATGCTCCTCTAGAGTGCCTTTTTGGCTATTGCTACTTCACAACAGGTTGCTTTAGGTTTCTTTAAAAAAAAAAAATCCCCTCGGATGCTAATGACAAATTCTCTGTTCCTCCCCTGCTGCTCCCAGAAAGCTTTTTTGGAGCTCTGTTTTAAAGAGATCAGACGGGTGGGCCTTGGAGTGGGAAAGGGTTGGCAGCAGGCAATAAACTTTCTCTCCTGACACAGAAAATTACCCTCTGCTGGGGCTTTAAGTTACGACACGTCTTTCACTAGCGGGTTTTTGGGGCACAAAGTTGTATCGAGGTTTTTGTGGCACGAAGTTGTGTCCAGCTTTTCCCACCCAGCTATTCCCACCCACTGCACTTACTAACCAGAAAGCCTTCTAAATGTTATCTAGCAGCGAGAACTGTGCTTTGCACATCACCTTCCTTCAGCTTGCCCTTCCATTTCCCCTTTTCCCACGTTATCCCATTGTTCCCCTCTCCTCCCGCGCTTCCCCCCTCTTCGCAAAGCTCTTTAAGCAGCTGCAAAGGGGGAGGGACCGCTCCGCTCTCGAAAACTCCACTTTGCCGAGCGCTCCCGGCGGGTTCCTCCCGCGTCCGTCTCTTTCCCAGGCGTTTTCATCCCTCCGAGATTTCAGGTTTGCTTTTGCATCTCTTCCCTCGCGCATCCCGGACAATAACCCACCTCTGCCTGTCGCTGTCAGGAGGAAAATGTACAGCCTCTTGCTGTTTGTGATGATGGGCTGCCTTTGTTTGAACGGTAAGTGACCTTTTCTTTCGGGTGCAGTTTGGGAGCAGCGATGGCTCTGGGGGCCGGGAGGCAGGAGCGGGATAAAAGCTCACCGACAATTCGGAGCTGCCACCTCGGGAGGTTTTGCAGGCTTCGAGAGGAGGCATAAAATCGAGTGTTCTAGTGTTGTTTTGGGGCTTTTTTTGGGGATCTGCAAATGCACTGAGGTGGCTACGGACAGACAGTTATATCGGATGTAAAAGGACAGAACTGCAGGAGATGGCAATAATAATCACTGAATGTTATCCCTTTAGATATTCCCAGGATCATCCGTGATAGGAAAAGCAGATGTTGTGCTGAGGGTGAAAAAAATGAGCCCTGAACCATAAATGAGGCAGATCTCATCCCTCTACAATTATTTGCTCAAGCTCCTGTATTTTGCGAAGTTCTTCCTCCCTAATTATTGTTATTAGCACGTAAATAGTTTAAATTAAGTTGTAATATATAAATATATGCTAAAACAAAGCAAACATACCTTTTCTTCGGCCTGTCAGGATTTCTTCCATGTGTTTTAGCCCACACGAACAGCCTGACAGCAGCAGGAAATAGTGCATTTACCATGGGAGCTTCTTCCCACGGAGAAACTCCCGTGAAGTGTTCTCAGAGCAAGTGGCTGAAAAATCAAACCAAAACAAAGATCACACATTTCCCATTATTACCTATTCATCCCAGAGTTGGTTTTTTTTTCCTTATATCACTGAAAGGTAACTTTATAAAGCATCTGCTTTCTAACAAATGAATAGTGAGAACCCACTTTAGATTCTTAGTTTATAAAACCCTTTATTATTTCTTTTTTTTTTTTTTTGCATTAATCGCAACATAAAAAATTAAAAGTCTTTAAAATTCCATTGGAACAATAACATTCCAATTTAGCAGGTGTTGTTTCTGAGGGGTCAGGAAAATCTTTTTGCTCAAGAGTATCCTGAAAAGAACCAACAGCACAAAGTAATTTTAGAGAAGATAATGGAACTGTCTCATTGCTGCTTCTTGCTTGCTCTTTACTAATTACAGAAGGGAATTTGCTCTGTCCCTATTGTCCACAGAAGTGATTTGTGAGAGAGTAAAGAACTGAAATGACAACACATGCTACAATAACATTTCTAAACAAATGCTATTTCTACATTTATTTCAATAACTGAAGTCAGGGACACACAGGACACGTGCCTGGTGTTAAATTTTGAAATTTAGTGATAACAGTGGCCTTGCCTGTGTTTCTGTATTTGCTTCTTTTCTATGGAAATCACTCCCAGAAATCTGTCATCACACTGAAAACAAACAACGTAACCCAGGATAAGTTATTTCACTTCATGCATTGAAATCAGACCACGTAAAAGGGAAAGTTGGCCCAGAATGACATCTGGGGTTTTGTTCCTCCTGCTGGGAGACTGGAAGCAATTTTCCTTTAATGGCCACACTCCCAACAGAGAAACCAAACTTTCTGAAGAATGTCACTGCAGGTTCTGGGGCTCCCCTTGTCCCAGAGCAGAGGTGTGGCGTGTTCAGGGAGGCTGAAATCATTTCCCCAGCTCAGGATCCACCCCGGTGTGTTCTATCACTGCTTTCAGTGCACAAAACCACTCCAGCCCCTCATTAGGAATGTTTCCTTACTGTTTTCACCATCCTTTGTCTGAAAGCATCAGTCTCCCCTCTGCAACATCTACGCTGATCACTGCTATGTGGGAAAAAAACCCACAAAAATAAACAGTTTGGAGGGAAACTGCCCTTTCATTTGTTCCACCTCCGAGAGGAGAAAGAGGAGTTCCCAGTGCCTGGCTCCTGCCATGAAGGGCACACAGAGAGGAACCTGAACGCCCGGTAGTTTTGTTTTCATCAGGTGCCATCCGGTTAATGTGTAGATTGTTAATGGAAAGCAGATTACGGAAATGATACGAGAACCACTCGTTTTTGGTTGGGTTTCCCTTTTCCCCGATTTTGGCAGGCTCTGAGGCAGGGCACGCCTGACATCTAGTGGTGTGTGACACAGGCAGCTGAGGGACCTGAGGAGGAGCCCCTTTGACCTTTCATTCTGATTATTAAATTACAAAGACTGGCGTGGGATGCCCTTTTACGAAGGCCCTTTTACAAATTCCTTCAGGAAGAACAGATTTCTTAAAGGGATTCATGGTTGAACAAACAATTATTTAGAATTAAGTTGTGGCTTGGCTATTATTCTGCATCAAGTTTATTAAGAGAGCCAGTACCTCGAAATCTGAGCTGTTCTCATCAGACAGGCAGACCAGACGACCCTGGTTTGATTTGCAGACCAGACAATTGGGATTGCTAAAAGCAGGTTTCAGGGGAAAAACTAATTACAAACCCAGAATTAGCTTCCTGCAAATATTCTGCAATTTCTTCTTCTTCCTCTCTGTTTGGCAAACACTCTCTATGCTGATATATTTATGGACAAAGGCAGAAATACAGTGAAAACATATTTACCAATTCAAACAAGAAGTCACTGTCTTTGCTAGCAGCATTCAGTGACCAAATGACAACTGATTTATATTTGAATTTCAGCCATCTGCTTGTGTCACTTCCCTGTGCAACAGTGGGAATGTTTGTTAAAAAACCACAACGAACAAAAGCAACATAAAACCCCACCAAACCACGTAACCCAACAACTTCAACCCATATTCCCTCTTTAGCTACCACAAGACTTCTGATCTGCCCTTAAAAACACAGAATGCGGCCCCCTTTTCTTTGCAATATCAAATTTAGCTCTTCCTTGAATGCAATGCATGAGAAAAAGCCAGAATCTGGAGCAAGAATCAGCATAGTTGGAGTTTGATAAGCTTTTGATTAGGCAACTGTAATATTAAAATATCCCAGGGCAACCCAGGGTGTTTGTAACGACTGGCAGGGAGGCACAAAGCAAGTGGGAATCAAAAAAAAAACCCAAACTGACCCAACCAAGACAGATGCATTCATCCAAATTTGTCTTCCCAAATGGCCTGGGAAGTACTTGGGAAGCCCATCCTGAAGAGCAGTGTTATGGTTGAGTACCTGTGACAAAATTTGGGCTACCAGTGCCGTAGCATATGCTGTGTTAAAGGATTGAAATCAGGCCTGGTGTTCCATCTCAGCCTTTCCACAGAGCTGTTCTGAGGTGTGAAAGCTCTTTTGCATCTCTCCACTCTCTTACTGGATCAGAAACGAGAAGTTCTTGGGGTATTTTTTTAACCTGAGTGGGCTCCAGAAGAACCAAGTTTCAAGAGACTTGCTCAGCCTAAACAACTTACAGCCCAGTTCCCAAAAAAACCAGGCACCTCCTAGAAATGCACTGACTTGGGAGTGCCTGTTTGATCCTGGCCTTTGGATGCCTGCCTTTCTCTGGATCTCATGGATATGCTCCAACTTAAAAAAAAAAACAAAAAACAACAGAACAAATGAATGTACCTGTTTTAATAACACCTGTTTCCATCACCATCACAGAGCTCCACACACAGCACAACCTCTCTGGGGCAGTGCTGGTGGCAGGATGTTTACCAGACTCTCAGTCATCAGAGTTACCATGTGGTCAACAGCAGTTGGAAAAGTCCACTGGAATGGCTTTAAAAAGCACATTCAAGGACATGAGAACAGATTCAGCTCCCTCTGGGGTTTTGCTCCATGGAGAACGTTCAGGTTTGTTTGATAGTACCCTGCAGATACTGTATTTTGTAATCATTAAACTCCAGTTTTGGCAATCTAAGATTTACTTATGGTATTTGTGCTAGTCCACAAATCGGGTTTTGCTTCCACACAAACTAAGGCTTACACACTGCCTTGGGTTTCCAAATTCTGAAACAGATTCATCAGTAGCTACCAAAGAGTCCCCAGTCATTAAAAGCATCCTTCAGCTTATCCCCTGGTTTTCCATATTTAAATCAGAGTCTTTAAATTCATACCTGTACCTGCAACTTTGTCTCCTGCAGCACTAAAGAGAGAAGTCACAGCTGGACCCCCTGCCTTTGGATCTTAACATAATTCTTCCTCTACTGTTAAGAGGGTGTGTCTTTCTCTAAGAGCAATCCCCCAAGAATATATCAATCTGAGCTTCACATTTTACTGTGGAAAAACCCAGAGGGTTCCAGTTGTTCTGCTTTGATCTGTGCTCTGTGAAAGACACTTGACTTCAGCAGAACAGATGTTGGTGCAAGCACAAAATCCTTCTGCTCACACAGGCCTGCAGTGCTTGGAAAGTCAAAAGCCCTCATTATTTCGTGGAGATGATCTGAGGCACAGGGATTCTGTGATCCCTCTCTCGTGTCACTTTGGTCTCCCTTCTCTAACCCTGCTGATGCTTTACAGGGAGCACAGCAGCAGATGCTGAAGAGAAGCTGATGAACCACCTCCTGAGCCCTGACAGGTACAATAAGTTAATTCGACCGGCTGTCAACTCCTCCCAGTTGGTCTCCATAGAACTGCAGGTTTCCCTGGCACAGCTCATCAGTGTGGTAAGTTCAGATTAGGCCTTTTAATTCATTACTACCTCACTCTAACAGTCATGGTGGTGTTAGAGTGTCCCTGCCCTTTTCTCATTTGTATAATATTAATTATAGGCAGAACTCATACACTCAGTTTACTGGTTAACAAGTTACAAAGCCAGATCAAAATCTCAAGCATAAGAGCAATGAACAGTGGAATGTTGTAAAGAAAAAAACCACATTAGTTCTGGCTGGAATAGCTTATTAACATGGTTAAAACAATCCTCATGTATGCAACTCCTCATATTCAACAAAAATGACTTCAGTGTGTCTGAAAGACATTTTCACCCACAAGGTTGGCATGTTCTTCCAAGGCACAAACACATCATTGCCAAGAGAGGTGAGCATTTAGGGTTTTATATACATATATATATATATATATATATATATATACACACAAGCAGGCTGGATATGATAGGTAAAATATATTTTATATAGATATATGTATATAAATACCCAGCCTGTGTGTGTATATATATCTAGCCACAGGATACAATGCCATCTACACCAGGTGACTCTGCCAGGAGTGTTCCCTCTCTCCTGGAGAGCTCCAGCAGGCCACAGACATGCCTCCCTACACACTGCACTGTGTCCTCAGGGTTTCTGGGCATAAAAAGCAAGATGTCCCAGAGATCCCCAGTGATCAACAGCCTAAAGAGAGCAGATGAATGGGCAGGGATGGAGAACAGCACAGCTCAGTCCCCATCCCTCTCTATCCTCACTCTTCAAGCAGAAGGCAAAATTAGGCATTTTATAGGCTCTTAACAATCTGAAGCATCTTGAGGATCAGAGAATGAACTTGTTTTCCTGCAGAAATCCTTCTGACAAATCTGCTGCAGAGAGATTTCTCTTCTGGACTGCTCTCCAGAGGGACAGCAGTTGCACAGAACAGAGCCTGCCAGCTGAGAGCTTACATGGCACACCTTACATCAACCTCCCACAGCCTCGTGGAGGCCCCTCCCCGTGGCCAAAAGCACTTTCTGTTCTGTAAATCAAAGGTGGAGAAGTGGGGTGGGGTGGTGGTGATTGTTCCCCAACAGCCACACTCACTCCTGCCACAACTGCTCTTGTTAAAAGGCATGTGGAGCCCTACACTCGTGGGGTTACTACTGACCATCAGCACGTGTACAAGCCTGGCCATCTTACCTGCAGAGAAATGCCTGTAATTCACTGACCACAATCTTGCTGCACAGTTGGAGATGTGCTCAAAACCCCACTGAATAAATCTCGTTGCTGCAATAAAGTGAAACATCTCAGAGGCCAATTTTCCTCTCCGTTTTTCCCCCTCAGAACGAACGGGAGCAGATCATGACGACGAACGTCTGGCTGAACCAGGTAACCAAACCCCCCCCCCCAAGAGATGTGCGCTCTTTGCAAACCACAAATGCTTTCACTCCATCCAAGGGTTGTTCTGTCAGGGCTGGGCTGGAAAACCCCCATCCCTACCTGTGCGATTCTTCTCGTAGGAGTGGATCGATTATCGCCTGGCTTGGAAGCCCTCGGACTACGAAGGGATAAATAAGCTGAGGATTCCTGCCAAGCACATCTGGTTGCCAGACGTTGTGCTTTACAACAAGTAAGTGCAACTTCTGTAGTCCGTGCAGACAACGGGCAAACTTTTAGCCCAGAGAAACAAGCGTCAGGAACAACCAAGTTAGGTCTGATAAAATTCCAGAACTGAACTTTGTAACTCTTTGATCGCATTAACTGTGTCTGACCGAGGTACTGGCCTCAAAGATAATTTTAGTAGCTGACAATTTTGTTTGGCTTTGATTTAAGTCTCTAGCAAAGCCCTAAAGTGGATGATATAAATTTTTTGGGGGAGGGAAAAAATAATCAAAATTTATAATTTCATGATACTTTGAAAACCAATGAATTCACGAACAGATGAACATATACAGATGGGAAACCCAGGAAGTTCATATATAAATATATGAGTTAAGTCCTTGGAATCCTACTACTGGAAATCAGATTTGATGAACATTTAAAACTAGTGTATTAGTCACAAAATAATTCAGCCAGTGGATTAGGATGTACTGCCTGCTCAAAGCCTGTTCTGGTAAATTGTGCCCCTGACCTCTGCTTCTTTCTGCTACTCCCCAACGGTGATACCATTTAATGACCTGTAAGAATAGAAGGAAACAGTTATAAAAGGTTTCTTAAATGCAGACGAACAAGCCTCCCCATACTGGATATTTGCATCAGTACAAAGCTTCAAATTGAAATTTGAGGTGAAATTTGAGATGAAGGACGAGCCCCTGTCCTTCACTGCTGCTGGAGCAGAGTTTCACAGGCATCGGTGAGTGCCGAGGCAAACACGAAGCACATCCCCCTGCCCACAGCTCTGTCAGCAGCCCAGCCTCTGTCCCACAGCTCAGATGGGGCAGTCAGCACAAAAACCAACATATCCCCAGCTCCAGAGTGTGCCCAGCACTCTGTCTGGCAGTAAAGCTAACTGGGGGAGACACAGATAGGGGAGAACTAAGGTACTATTGATTTATTAAAAATGAGCTATTCATTGGCAGTGAAGTAACAACGCCCCTCACTTCTGCATCTGGTTGTTCCACTGCCTGTGTGAATTATCTGCAGGGCTCTCAGCTCAGTGCCAGGCATTCAGAACCTCACCAAGGTGAGCCCTTTCCAGAGCCAAACCTTACTGATCCAGAGAACAGCTTTAGGTGAGCCAAGCCTTGGATGCTTGTAGCGCTTCCCTGCTGAGAAAAAAATCAGCCTTAGCACTGAAATAACCCTGTTTTCCATGATGTCTTGTCACCAAACAAGGATACCACCTCAGGATATTTAATAGGTTCAACAGCCCTGAGCTGTTTGCCCAGGAGCACTGACCACTGAGTGATAATCATCTCCTCCCTGAATTAAAGGGCCCATCATAACATAGAAGACTCCCTGGTGGAAGTTCAGCAGCTGGAAGAGACACAAAGCCAAGATTGTTTGTGGGCACTAAGAACCCTGTGGCTTGTCTGTTCTGGTTTTGTAATGAGTAAACATTAACTGGAGTGACGTCCTAAATTATAAACCATATAATTACATTTCCTCTGCCCGCACTCTCCCTGCCTTTCTGACTAATGCTGCTCATCCTTATTTCCTCGTCCAAGTCATTTAGGAGTGTGCTCTGCTCTCTTAGCAGTGGCTGTGTTCCAGATCAAAGGCACCTCCATTTTCACGTGGGATGATCTCATTTTCACCCAGCCTTCAGAGACGCAGGGAGCTGTAGTTACTCCGGCAAACATTTACAAAGTGCTTTGATTTCCCTGGGAGAAACGGAGGTGTATATTTATTGTTTCATAATAATTTTATAAAGAGCTCTTCTGTCCTGAGCTGTGTTCTGTCCCCTCAGCGCGGACGGCACCTACGAGGTCTCGCTGTACACAAACGCCATCGTGAAGAACAACGGGAGCATCCGCTGGCTGCCACCGGCCATTTACAAGAGCGCCTGCAAGATCGAAGTCAAGCACTTCCCCTTCGACCAGCAGAACTGCACCCTGAAGTTCAGGTCGTGGACCTACGACCACACGGAAATCGATATGGTGCTTAAAACTTCCATGGCGAGCATGGACGACTTCACGCCCAGCGGGGAGTGGGACATCGTGGCACTGCCGGGAAGGAGGACTGTAAATCCTCTGGACCCCACTTACGTCGATGTGACGTACGACTTCATCATTAAAAGGAAACCTCTTTTTTACACCATCAATCTCATCATTCCCTGCGTGCTAATCACGTCCTTAGCCATCCTGGTGTTCTACTTGCCCTCGGACTGCGGGGAGAAAATGACCTTGTGCATCTCCGTGCTGCTCGCCTTGACTGTGTTCTTGCTGCTGATCTCCAAAATCGTCCCCCCCACGTCTCTCGACGTGCCGCTGATGGGGAAGTACCTCATGTTTACCATGGTACTGGTGACCTTCTCCATAGTCACCAGCGTCTGTGTCCTCAACGTCCACCACCGGTCTCCGAGCACCCACACGATGCCCCCCTGGGTCAAGGTGGTTTTCCTGGAAAAGCTCCCGGCCTACCTGTTCATGAAGCGCCCGCAGAACAATCCCCCCCGCCAAAAGCCCTGCCACTGCAAAAAGGCAAAAGCAGAGCAGCCCTGTATGGAGCCAGTTGACTTCTACAAGAACTCCACCTATTTTTTGAATACAGCCCCTGCCAAAAAATATGAGATGAAAGTCTCTGAGACACTCGACAGTGTCAGCAGTCACCGAGATTTCAGGTTGAGAACAGGCACGAAATTTTCCCCTGAAGTCCAAGAGGCAATTGATGGAGTCAGTTTTATAGCAGAGCACATGAAAAGCGATGACAACGACCAGAGTGTAAGTAAAAGTGAGAAATCATCCCCATCTTTCCAAGCTTCATCTCCTGTCCTCCTCTGTAACATGCTCCTCCTCAGAAAGCGTATTTTAACCCTCAGGTTTTCAGAGAGATTCTAGACATAGCCTGTAAGGGGAAATAATTCTTGCCATTAAAGAACTTAATGAAGGGCCATTTGGTAACTGCAAATACTCTCCTGACAAGCAACATGGCTCTTTCTACAAAGAGAGTTTGTTGATGGCTCAGGAAGTCATGAAACACCCTTGAAAAAGCTGTGTTGTCACATTCAAGTAGTGCTTGGCAGGGGAAGAAAACCATGTTCCAGGTTAGAAAAAGACTATTTTTCTCCATTGTATTATTCAGTAAGATTGTGATTTAACCCATGGCCAGGCCAGGTTAATCAGAAACTGTATCTTCAGCTCCAGCATTTATTTCCCTAACTGGGCACAGCAGGATTTAGTAGAATTTACAAAAGCCTTTGCAAACACCCTCTCTGGGTCAGACACCTGCCTAGAGATGGCAAACACGAGGGCTAGGATGAAAATAATCCTAAAGCCAGCAGAGCTGATACTTCTTCCACCCGAGTTAAATCAGACTCATTAATGGTTACGAGAAATACTTTCTCCAGGACACATTTAAGCAGTTGCCCTGCTCACAGGGAACCAGCTGGAACACTGGAGCTGAGATAATACCCTGGGGATAATGCTTGGAAAACTCAGATGGCTCCCAGTTTTGTTCAGACAGGCACCCATGGGTGGAAAGAACCCTCTTCATACCCACCAGTGTTCTCTGTCTGACCCAGATCCCACTCAGACTGCGGGTTCTTCATTCCTTTTGTTCTCCCCCCTTCCTCTAACAAGCAGATTAAATAAAGTCTGGTTTCTGATCCGGCAGAAGTCCCTTGAGGAGGACGCTGCTGAGTAGTTCATGTTTTCTATTAGCTGAAATTACTGTCAATATAAATAAAGAAGTTGAGCCATTAACATTAGGCACGAGCTCGTAAACACTGGAGCTGACTGAGCAGCAGCAGATTTCACAGAGCAGAAAAAAGGGCTCTAACAGCTCAGAAATCCTTGCAAGAATGTGTTGCACGCCAAAGGATGTGCAAAGCTTGCAACTGATAGTAAGAGCAATTTTCAAGGGTGTTTTATACATTAAAACTTCATTTAAAGCTTTTCACATACGACCCTCCAATATTAGATATTGTTTTTCTAGATTCATAACTTTCTTCTCTGCTTCCTTCCCTCATCACCACGCTCTGATAACAACTGTTCATGTACATTCATACAGTCTGATTTCAGAAGAGTCCCCTTTCCATCAGCAGCAGTGGAAATTAAAAGTGTGCGCTGAAGGAAAAAATACGTAATAATCTAATAGAAGACGTGAGACAAGTGACATCATCAGTGTGAGGATGTCCCACATGTAGCTGGAGTCGATGAGGGAGGAAAAAAAACATCCCTGAGATACAAATGGAGGTTGATGTATTCCACTTTTACAGCAACAGCCTGACAGTCACTTCAGTTGGAGACAAAATCTAAGGCTGTGGCTTTCCCAGACAGCACATGCAAGGCAAAAAAGGGGTTTTAATAAAAGCGACAGTATTAATATGCATTAAAACCCTTGATTAAGATGACTGCTGATAAGAAAAGAATCCTGAAGCTAACCTCGTTTAACAGCAGTAAACACCATCTATTTTTGCCCACTGAGATAAACAGCATCTGCAAACCAAAATTAAAGGGAAAAAAAAATCCTTAATGGGATTAAACTGTGGGTCCTTCAGGATTGGCTTCCACCAGGCAGCATCAGGACCTGATGCATCCAAGAAGGCTAAGAAATATTCACTGTGCTTTTGTTTTCCTCCACTGCTCAGAATGCTTGTAAGAGAAAAATCCCTTACCAAGCCTAAAGTCAGTTTATTCCCTGAACCTTGAGATCTGCTTCCTTTTTATTTTCATGAACAGAAACTCACCATTAGCAAGGGGGAGACCAAAATAACATGGCAAATTGCTAATATCTTTTAACTGGCTTTTTCTTGCAGGTCATTGAAGATTGGAAGTATGTTGCCATGGTAGTGGACAGGCTGTTCCTCTGGATATTTGTCCTTGTTTGTGTCCTGGGGACTGTTGGGTTATTTCTGCAACCCCTTTTTCAAAACCACACTGCTGCCATGAACCCTTAGAGCTGTCATTTAAAACTGGCAATATTTACACAAGGGTCGGGTCCCGTTCTACTCTCAGTTCCCCTCTGTTAAATCCACAGAGATGCCAAGTGAGTTGCACTTCCATCCCTTAGGGTGGGGAAAAGGAAAGTAGAACTTGGCTTACTGTGATAAGAAAAAAAAATACCCCAAACAAGCAGAAAACTGAAATTTTTTTCCAGTGAGTCCAGTACTTCTGGTGATATCTTGGCTGAACGTTACAGAAAAAGGCTTTTACTGTACAACATGCCATTCTGGCTTATTATTATTATTGTTATTGTTATTATTACTATATTTTAAACACATTGCCTTAGGAAGGATCTTTTCTTTCCTTCGAATACTGCAATTTCCCTGATTCGAAGAAGGTATTGCTGTGAAATCTATTTCCTTCAGATGCATCAAAACAATTTGTGTCTGATTTTATAAAGAACTTTACAAGTGGGTTTGATGCTTCAGCCTGAGCCTAGAAGTAAAAACACACTTCTGAGGTAACCACTGGCAAGGTTCTCACCTTGCCATCCCTGCCAGCTGATCCATCAACAACAGCCAAATTAATGGATGATAAACAAACACCAAGATAATACTCTGGTCATTGATGAAATACAAATAAAACATGAATTTTTTTCCTTTATATAGATTTGGTCCTCAAATGTTCCTGCAGCTTTAAACAGCTCATGTCTCTGGGGGCTCAAATACATTTTAATGATTCAGGCTGAGAGCTCAGGAAAGCAACTGGAGAAGGCAACAAGAATGAGAAGACACCTGAGAACACACAGACCTGGGTGTTTTTCTGGGGAGATTTTAATGTGGATTTAAGTCTAATCCTCAACAAATTAGTTAGGGAAGCACTCAAGGCATGTGGAGCCTCAAAGGCTTGGGCAAAGGACAGGTGGAGGCTCCAGACTCCCATCACAGGACAATCCCACCCCAGTTTGTTCCAGGGAACCTGCAAGAAGAAAAGTGGGCTCCTGGCTAACCTCAGCTTTTCCTTGGGGTGTTGTCAGGACACAACAATTGTACCACCATTGATCAGCACAACTAACGATTGGAGAACAAACTGGTAAAATTCTCTACTGCTTGGGAAGGGGATTTGAGGCTCACCTGTCCCAGGGGAGGATCAGCTGACACCTAAACCCGTGTTCTTCCACAAGTCGCAGATGACAACAGTTCCAGATCTGTTTGCCTTCATCCAAACTGAGCTGGATCTCCCCAGGGCCTGAACACTCCTGCATGGCCTGGGGCCCAGCAGCCTGGGAAGGACAGGGTGAAAAAGCATCACAAGTGGGGTGTGTGACGCTCCCTGAGGTCATGTGTTAGAAGAAGGAAGGGTTGTCAGACTGTCACCCTGCCTTCCAATCCCCTTCCTCTCAGCACTGTGACTGCGTCCAGCACAGGCAGGGCAGCAGGTGGTGGGTAAGTGCAGGACAGCCCTCCTGGTGCAGGTACACCCTGTGATCAGCCAAGCTGCCACATCCTGCTCTCACAGCAGGGCACAATGTCCTGGCCACCTCCCCAAACATTACCTGTTCTGGACACTCCCGGGGTGACTAGTGGGTGGGGTAAAGGCAAACCTGCTTTCCCTGCCTTAAATGTTTCCTTCTCCTTTTCAGACCTAGAGAGCAGAGCTGTCTCTCTGCAGGCAACTGAACCAACAGCTGTGAGAGGAGATGAGATGAGATGGGGCACAGGCAGCCCCTGGGAGCAGAGGGGTACCCTCCCAATGCAGGTTATATATATATATATATATATATAAATATGTATAATCCTCTGTGTTAGGTTATAGCACAAGCACAGGTGAATACACATCCCCAGCTGCTAAACAGCTTCTTCTGCTGACGGAGAAGCCACAGGGAAGGCAGAGCAGCTGCCAGCGCTGTGAAGACAGTGTAAAGGTGAAGGCCCTTTAAAGATCAAAATAACCCTGCCCAGTGAATCTGAAAGAGGCAGCACGGATTAAACGCTGTGAGAGACACTGCACATTCCCTCAGGGCAGAACGGGGAGGGACTCACCCTCCCAAGCAACCAAAGATTCACCAAGCCTGCCCTGGCCCCTGCAGTCCCCCCAGATGACACCTGTGCAGAGCAGAGACCCCTCTCTGCCATTTCCATCAGCACCAACAGCACTGCTGGCTCTGTCCCCTCCTCACCCTCTCACCAAAATTTACTCTTCCACCCAGTCCCTTCTCCTTCTCATCCCCCCCCCCTCACTGCCTGAGCCCCGGTGCTCCCAGCTCGGAGCCGGCTTCTCCTCATGAGCAGTGAGAGCACTTGGCTCTGGAACCACAGCCTTCAGCTGCATTACCCTCAGCACACACAAAAGTTGGAGACAGGATTTGGCAGCTCAGCTAGCACAGAGTGCAGGCAGATGAAGGCCTCAGACTTGACAAAGCCAGAAAAAGCTTTCCAAAGGCACATGGCTGGCCCCGGGGAGATCCCTGTGGAACACAGGAACGGGCTCCGCTGCTTTCTGTGCGCTCCTTGTTTAATCACGACTGAAACGATGTAACCTCTCCTAAACCACCACTGTGTGGTGAAACATTCCCAGAAATAATTCAATCCACAGATTTCCATCTTCAGATTGCAAAAATTTCACCCCCAGTCCTGAAATCCTGAAAAATCTGCCCCCCCTAAAAACCTGTGGTTTCAAAGTGGTAAATACTATTTTCACCTAACCCTCAGCAGCTCCACCTGTGTAATACATAGCACTGTTCCCAGTTTGACTTGTCAAAGGATCACAAGGTTTTCCACTTTGGTTTTCTTGGCAAAATTTCAAAAATAAAAGATCTCCAGAGAAAAGGAAACATCACAAATGTCACCTTGCAGGCAAATAGGAATAATATCCCCGTTCACCAAACAAAATAAACTTCAACATTTCCACTTTTCATTTAAAAAAAAAGTAGACATTCAAAACGTATTTCACACTAAAACTGTTTTTTGATGGCAGTGTGCAACCAGTCTGCTTCCCTAGCAGTGAGGAAAAGCCTCTGTTGGCTCTTTCCCCATTCCCCACCATTACAGATTTCCCAGGATATTCCAAGTTGGAAGGGACCCACGAGGATCATCAAGTCCAACTCTTACATGAATTACAAAACTTTTTAATGCTGACCAATCCTGCCTTCCATCAGAACATGGAGAAATGCCACCACCACCACCACACACACACGTGCCACCTGCATCCAGGTGCATTTATTTGGGACTGTTTCTGCACCCCTGCAGCCACAGCAAACTGGGAACAGCAGCAGTGTTGGATTTTTAAAGAGGGACCATCAATACCCCAGCAAAGGTGAGAAAATATTCTTTCCTTCATTACCTGAGTCGCTACCTGAGCGTGTTTATTAAAAAGCAAAGGCTGCACAGTTGGTTTCTGCAGATCTTCTTGGGTGGATCAGCTTCCCCCTACCCAGACAAATTCTCCTTCTGTGGAGTTCTGCAATGCAGTCATGGTGACGTGTTCTCATCACATCACTCTCCCTTAGCCATAAAAATAATCCTACCACAATCCTGAGCTGATTTCACCAGCAACTCCAGGATGGGATGCTGGAAACAGAACATCTGTGCCACATAAACACCACTGAAAATTCCAGTAACGAGGCAAATTAAACTGAAGTACCTGTGTCTCTTGATGCAATGGCTCTTTGCATCCTGTGCAGATCAGATGTTTCCAAATTCTCCAGGTTAAGCACTGACTTTTGGGGAACACGAGTTTAGGATATTATCTTTGAAGCTTTAACTCGTTTCTAGCTGGGAGTAAAAAGAACAGACAGAAATCTCAGTTATAATGCTGCTTACAGCAAGGAAGCAGAAAGGGAAGGCATTTAGTGGCAAGGTCCTGGAAAGGCAAAGACAAAAGTATCCACAAAGGGTTAAGTTAAAAGACCAAGCAGCTGAGTCCTCTGGAAAAAAAGAAAAAAAAAGAAATAAAATCAAATGGACAGTAAAGCCTATTTCCTCCAAGCTAATAGAATTACAGAAATTATCATAAGAGCATGTGTCTGGGGACAGAGTGAATGATGCTCTGAGAGACAGAGCTAACAGGATAAACAAGTTCCGTGCCAGGAGCTGACCCCAGCCTGGTGCTCTTTCTCCCAGTGTTACCTCCTAACACAAAGCAAAGTGTTTACCACTCCCCAAGAGCAGGGAGTGAAGCACCTCTTGGTGCAGCTCCTGTCCCACAGGGCTTCCAGAGCTCTCTCTCTCCCCCTCCCTCCCTCCCCACAGATGAGTGCAGCTGTGTAAGCCCTGCATCATCTGCTCACCAAGGGCTAGGGGCACACAAAAGGTGGCAGAAGTTAACAAGGAAGCTGATGGGCATCTGGGGAACGAGGCCCTTTGTAAATCGTGATTTTATGACTGAACTTCAAACGCAGCTCCCCATTCTTGCCAGTGCCCTTCCCCACGAACAATAAGGTTTTTGTGGGATCAAGATGGGGATCCTGTGCTCTTATTGCCTTCTCAAATGTCACCTTTCTAATCAACAAAAGCAGGAATGGCCTAAAGCCAGTGATTCTCAGGGGTCTGATCGAGTGTAATACTCCATTCAAAGCCCTGGCTCTTGCCAGATCCCAGCTGCTATGTTTACCACTCTGGGCTTAGATCCTGTCAACAGTTGTAGATGCCTTTAATTACCCCTGGGAATAGCACATCCTTTTTACACAGCCAAGCACCCAGCACATGCGCCTGTGAGATGAGACACGGGCAGGAAAAAAGCCTCAACGTTAACAGCCTAATTGTAAACTCAGGTCCCAAGGTCTCAGTTCGCTGCTAAATCAGGCATCCCTAATGTCAATATTCATTTCGGCACAATTCAATTACAAGATTTTTATTAATTACACTTCCCCTTAGCAGATTGTGATGAGCTTCTGGTAGAGAAGGCTCCTGCATAGCAGCTGACAGGAAAAATCTTTAGCACTGTCAGACCACCAGGCTCATTTAGGCAGCATTTTAAGGACTCTTGCCCATTATCCCTTGCCAGGAGACTGCTCTTTGCCTGCAGTAACATCTGTTTTGCCTGCAATCTTTTTGCCATTTCCCGAGCTCTGGCAGCCCGGGTGAGGCGGGCAGGGGGCAGCACAGCAGCTCAGCGCGCAGAGCTGTTCAGGGTCCCTGCCGGCTGCTGCTTCGGGCATTTCACGCATCGCGGGAGCGGAGCCCTCCCCGCTCCCGGCGCTCGCACAGTCCTGGCAGCGACGCTCATCTCCAGCAGCCTCCCTCGACAGGCAGTAACTCACAACACCATGGAGAGCATCCACCCTCTCCTCCTGACTGCTGCTCTCTGCTTTCTCTGCCAAGGTGAGTGATCCTTCAGCTGTTACTCTTTGGCGGCCAAGGGGAGGTGGGAAAGGTGGACAGGAGATGGCTTTGGTGCAAATGATCTTTTAAGAAGCTCGCTCCAAGCTAAGGGATATAAATCCTAGTACAGCTCTTTTTACAGGGTTTTTAAAGTTTATCGTTGCAAAGGATTTAATTGTCCTGATTAAAGATGCCAAACAGGACGCGCAAAGCCATTTTAACTTTAAGGAAAACGCACCTGACACGTAAAGGTGTGGTTGGTCTCACATATTGCACAGAAGACCACAACAAAGTGGCAACATTAAAAAGCTTCAAATACGAGCTGCAAACAGCCTGTCTTCTCTCTGCAGATACGGAAAGCACCAAAATATTCAAAGAAAAATCCCCACATTAGTGCACTTCTCTAGAGATAGTGGATGCTGGGTTTAATTAACGCTAGTGACATGTAAAAAGGCTGGCAATTTGGGATGGACTATGATAGAGTCGTTAAGATCTAGCTTTGAAATTATTTGCCTAAAAGATCTGAGAGTATTTATTCCAGGAAATCTTGATATGAGAGACAGGAGATATCAGTAAATAATATGGACAAGGCTTGCAATGACAAAAGTGTTCATTTTTTAGGTTGCAAGTTGTCTTGAATGATTTCACTAACCTGAAAATAAAATTGCCCTCTAAGTGAACAAGAGAAGGGGAGAGGGGTAGAAACCAACCAGCCAAACCAAAACCCAAACAAACGAGCTTTTAACTGAGTAGATTCACTTGAGAGGGACCCTCTTGTCTTAAAGGGAGAGGAGGACTCAAAAAGATTGGAAAGTAACACCTGCTTTGTGTAACATTTCAGATCACTCACCTGCATATACTTCTGCCTCCCTCCTCTTCCTCTACTGAAAAATAACTCTCAAAAATCCCCCCATGTCCTTGCAGATCTGTAGATTCCTGTTTGTGTTTCACAGGAACTGTAGAAGATGTTCAACAGCCTTCAGTTCATGCCTTTGCCAAATTTGCATAGTGCCATCCATTACTGACAGAACAGGCCTTGTTTTCCTTTTCAGTCGGAATTCGTGGGGCTCTGTTGTCCAGAACGAGTTGAAGAGAGACTTTTAAGAGATCATTCTAAAAATAAAAGACCACCGGCTTTCAAATAGCATTAGGATGGTTATTGCCCAGCGAGTTAAACAGTAAAAAGGTACTGTAAAATACAGGCTCTCACACCTCGCCCCAAAACAGTTAAAGTACCCTGATTTTTTTAGAATTTCAGTTTGCAGGTTTTTTGTAGGCCACAGGATACCATGAACTGCAGTTAGCAATAGCAAAGGGACAATCTGAATCTATTATAAATAAAAACTACTTAGAATAAAAACCGGGTAATTAGCACATTTCTTTGAACGTGCTGAAAAGTCTTTGGATTTAACAGTTAATCCATTTTAACCCTTTTTTAAAATTTTTAAGAAGCAGGTTGTTATCTTTGCCATAATCACGCAATCCTGACTCAGGCTAGAAAACAGGTTTCCTGGGAATCCTGCTGTTGCAAAACGTTCTGACCCTTCACAAGCAGCCTGGTCTGCTGGGCTGCACTTTCCCCTTCCTGTGCTCCACAGCTCTGCCAGGCCTAAGGGACCGGGCCTGCGAGGGGAAAGGGTTCTGTACCTCCGGAAACTTTACTCGTTTGCAGAGATGTGTGTGAGATTTTCTTCCCCCCAGCCCAAGCTAACGCCCCCCGTGGCACAGCAGTGCCCGCCTAGGCGTGTTTTGGGCAGTGCCCAGCCCGGGGGAGGCTGAGCGGGCGGTCGGGGGGGCTCTGCCCCGGCGCTCACCGCGTTACCCTCCGCAGGCTGCGGCGGCTCCGAGGCCGAGCACCGGCTCTACGCGGCGCTCTTCCGGAGCTACAACCAGTTCGTGCGCCCCGTCAAGAACGTCTCGGACCCGGTCATCATCCAGTTCGAGGTGTCCATGTCGCAGCTGGTGAAGGTGGTGAGTACCGGGCGCCGCGGCGGGGCCGGCGCTTGTCCCCACACAGCTCTCCCGACACAGCTCTCTCTTCTTCCAGGACGAAGTCAACCAGATCATGGAAACCAACCTGTGGCTGAAGCACGTGAGTAGCGCTCGGTGACAGCCGGGGGGGCACCGACCAACCTCCCGGTTGTGCTCCGGGTTACCCGTCCGGGGAGAGCTGCCCGGCCCTGAGGGGTGTCTGCGGGCTCGGGGAATACCGGGGTGGCATTCCCGGGGCAGGATCCCGGGGCAGCATCCCGAGCTGCCCCCGCTCCCGCCGGCAGCGCCGCCCGGCCCCGTTCCCGGGGCTCTGCTGCCTCCCAGCGGCCACCGGCCCGCTCTGCCCAAGGGAACGGGAAGGGATGGGAAGAGACGGGAAGGGATGGGATGGGACGGGAGAGGAGCGGAGCAGCGCTGCTGCACTCGTTGGGACTCGCTAAATAAAACGTTTTTGCTCTGAAGATTCCCAAAGGCGCTGCCTCGGCAGGCACCGACGCAGCGAAAGCACCTCAGAGCAGGTGTCCCGCATGGCATCGGTTGGTGCTGTTTGGTTCCCGGAAAGTGAGAACAAACCAAAAATGTTTACTTCACTTAAAAAGAGTCTTTAGGGGTTAACCATGCAGCTACTCGCTGTTGCAGTCAGCTTAATAACCAACTTAGTTCCCGCTTTCAGCTTGATATTCAACTTAGTTTAAGCGGGGTTTGACATCCCTGAGAACCAAGGCTCTTACTGAACTGAGCAATGACACCCTGCAGCTCTTTCTGACCCACATCCCTCACTCAATAACCACACCTACCACCACAGCCTCCACGAATTTGTTCTCACCATCCCACAGACACTTGGTTTCTTGAGACTGAAGTTATTATTAAAGTCCTACATTCTCTGACAAGAGAGAGTCTTACTCCTTCTTTCACCTCGTTTCAGCTGCTGAGTACACATTCCTGGGACAGAGTCACACACATGTAAGTCACATCTAGATATGACCAACCAGGTCATATCTAGGCCCACCTACAATCTGCATATCAACAAACACCACACATACGTGTTTGTTAAAGAAACAGCTGTATCCAAACTGGGTATCCAAAATAAACCAACCCTAGAAGTGATACACCACCACTTGGTTCAGGTCTGGTCTACTGAATTTCAGCTTCTTCACAAACCTAACCCAGACTCATTTTGTCCATAATTAGATCTGGAATGATTACAAGCTTCGGTGGAATCCAGCAGATTATGGAGGTGCTGAATTCATCCGAGTACCATCTGGCCAGATCTGGAAGCCAGATATTGTTTTATATAACAAGTAAGACTCTTGCACATTTATATCCTTAATTTAGGAAGGAGGGGGGTGATGTTACCAGTTTAAAAAAAAAAAAGAAAAAAAAATCAGCAGCAAGTTCCCTGAATGAACTGAAAAGCCTGCTTTCCAACACACCTGTGTCCCACATCTCCCCCTGCTGTCCTCACCTCCATGCCGGCTCCATCAGCATCCCTGGGCAGGAGCCAGCTCTAACCTGGAGCTGCAGGTGGGCAAGCCAGAGTGAACTTGGCTTTTGCCCTTCACTTTTACTGTTATTTGTGTCACTGTCTGCCAGGGGAGCTGACAGGAATTCCCTCAGACTGGAGAGCTCTCGTCTGTGAGTCAGACCTTTAACCAAAAAAAAAAACAAAACTGCAGCTTCTAGCTTTTCAGCAGTTAAATTCACAGTTTAAATTCACAGCCTTTCTAGTAACAGTGTTGACATATACAAGGCACAGATAAAGTTTACTTCAGAGGTCAGTTGCTGAGACACTGAGGAGCCAAACCATAAGTAAATGGCTCCCTCTGCTATGCAGGGAAGCAATTCCCAGGGAGATGGACTCATCCACACAGATCCAAAACTTAAGGTCCGTGGATCAACAGTGATGACACCCCTTTTCTAAAGGTGGTCTTAAAAAACTTTAAATTACTTTTTTAGCTTTACTTTTTCATAGAAACAACTGAAATTGTCCCATGGATCATATGAGATAGCGAAGTGGGACTTGAAAAAAACCCTCACCAAATCCACTCCTTATGCAAAGATGCACCCCAACCCTAATCCCTCTTTCAGTAGTTACTACCTGCACTGTCCACAGAAGAGGTGGGAATACCAGTAATACAGGTATCCTCTTATCAGCCCCTGAGTTCTGCTCTGCTTGACTGATCTAGAACAGAACAGAATAAAATAGTTCAGTTGGAAGGGACCTACAGCACTTACCCGGCTGAACTGCCATTTGCAGTTTTTGCCATTTTGAATATTGATTGCACTGAGCCATATTATTTTATAAGGCAATTAATAATATTCCCTTTCAACTCCTCCCTGGTAAATTTATACCAGCTGTTTGTTTCAGTTTAACTGTGCAGATTTATGGTGCCCACTGGCACATGCAATTCAGCTCCAAGTCAACAAGCAATTGCTGACTTTCCCAAAGCAGATGACAGAGTTAATGTGTATGATCTGAATGTATGAAACTACCTGGATCATTCTAATTTTTGTTGTTTTTATTTTTTGTTTTACAGTGCAGTTGGGGATTTCCAGGTTGACGACAAGACAAAGGCCCTACTAAAATACACGGGTGACGTGACCTGGATACCTCCAGCTATATTTAAAAGCTCATGTAAAATAGATGTAACCTACTTCCCATTTGATTATCAGAACTGCACCATGAAGTTTGGTTCCTGGTCTTATGATAAAGCCAAAATCGACTTAGTTTTAATTGGCTCCACTATGAACCTGAAAGATTACTGGGAGAGTGGAGAATGGGCTATTATTAAAGCTCCTGGGTATAAACATGACATCAAGTACAACTGCTGCGAGGAGATATACCCAGACATCACCTATTCTCTTTACATTAGGCGTTTACCTTTATTTTACACCATCAACATGATTATTCCCTGTCTGCTGATCTCTTTTCTGACTGTCTTAGTTTTCTATTTGCCCTCAGACTGCGGTGAGAAGGTGACACTCTGCATATCAGTCCTCCTGTCTTTAACAGTGTTCCTTCTCGTTATCACAGAAACCATCCCTTCCACTTCCCTGGTCATCCCCCTCATCGGGGAATACCTCCTTTTCACCATGATATTTGTCACTCTGTCAATCGTCATCACGGTGTTTGTGCTGAACGTGCACTACAGAACGCCCAAGACGCACACCATGCCCGTGTGGGTGAGAACCATTTTCCTGAACTTACTTCCCAGGATCATGTTCATGACCAGGCCCGCCAGCGACGAGGACAATAACCAGAAGCCAAAGCCACCGTTCACTTCGGAGCTCTCCAACCTGAATTGCTTCAGCAGCTCCGAAGCCAAATGCTGCAAAGATGGCTTTGTGTGTCAGGACATGGCATGCAGCTGCTGCCAGTGCCAGCGCACCAAGTGCTCGGATTTCAGTGGCAATCTCACCAGGAGCTCGAGCTCGGAGTCTGTGGATCCTACGCTTTCACTTTCAGTTCTGTCACCAGAAATGAGAGATGCTATCGAAAGTGTGAAATACATTGCAGAAAACATGAAAATGCAGAACGAAGCAAAAGAGGTAAGAACAGACTTTACTATTACTCTAACTGCTGATACAAAAGACTCTGATAATGAAAGGTAAGAAAAGGAACTCAAACATACAAACAAAAAACCCCCAAACAACAGAGACCACTATTTTCCACAAGTAAATTACCCAAGCTGTTTACAAGCATGTGCAGTTTTGAATTTCTACAAAGGGGGAGCAGCTCTGCTGCTCAACACTCTCTTCATTGACAGTATAAACACTGAGTGAGGCACGTTGAGGTTACCATTGCTGGGGGAACGCACCAGAGACCCATCCCACCAGAGCTAAAATCAGGATTTTCCAAGTCATAATCTTAATAGTGCAATTTGCTGACTGTGGGGCCTTTGGAAAGTTACATTCTCCCCTCCCACAGCTTACCACCATCAGCAGCAAAACCACCAGTGAATGTCCCTCGTAGCGATGATTGATTGTTCTGTTGCTGCTGCAGAGTAAAGTTCTGTAGCTAAACGAGGCAACTGCTGCAAGAGTGGGACTAGAATCTTTCATAAAGCTGCACCTTAGTGCAATAAAGAAACAAAAATAGAAAGCTTTCTCTCTGTCATGTTCCTCCAACACGTTATCAGCAGTAGCCACACACCCCCAATTATCACAGGACTTAAACCCCCTGCAGTCCAGCACTAAACCTCATTCTAACTTTACTTCATCTGTGCTGAAATCAGAGCTTTATTTATATTTAGCTGGTACAAAAAAAATACAGGGTTGCTTTGGGATTTAAGTCTGCCCTAACAAACAAGTTGTAAGCTAAAAAGCACCAATTTCAAAAGCAACTAATGCATTATTCATTTATTAGCACTTCTGAAGAAAAACAAAATAAAAATTGAAATTGCAAGCTCAGTGGGAACTAAAATAATTACCTGGTTACTATTAATATATAGCATATGTAACATTTCAGTGTCACTCTTCTTATAACACTCATTGTAAAAAGAAAAAACAAAAATTAGAAAAACCTGGGTTTTTTGGAAACCTCCTTCCCAGGAAAGGTAGAGAGAGAAATTTTACACCATGCATGACAACAATCAAATTTCAGTACTACCCAAGAAAATACCAAGTAACTATGTATCAATTAGCTTTTGCTTTTTACATCCTGCCTAAAGATGAGTAGGAGCAGTTTCTGTTTCTGTTTCAGTAAAGTTTTCTGGACAAACCTCTTCACCTGAGGATGTAACACTTTACATTTTCATTTTTGGCACAGAGAAGTTGTGTCTCCTCAAGTCCAGTGTCTTGGTGAAAAACTTTCTGTGTTTGAAGTGGTAGCTTTTGGCTTTGCCACAAAAGCTTCTTCAAGATGAAGTCATTTGTCAGTGAAAACAGAGATGTGTAAGTTGTGTAGCATGAAAGATATCTACATAGAGAAAATCTTAAATAAACCTGCTTGCTATACAAAATGGCACTAATTGCTAATGCAAATTATTCATCTAATCAACATGCCAACTTGCTATTCTTTTTTTCCTTTTTTTTTTTTTCCCTCTTTTTCCAGATTCAGGATGATTGGAAATACGTTGCCATGGTCATTGATCGTATTTTCCTGTGGGTTTTCATCCTGGTGTGTATTCTAGGAACAGCAGGCTTGTTTTTACAACCTCTGATGGCTGGAGATGACATGTAAAGATTAAACAACGTGTTGTGACATCAAATAAAACTGCCAACCAACTCTGTATCGTCACCCCAGCACCCCCCATGTCTCTTCCATGTGTAGCAGAATAAGGAACTTTCAAATCTGCTTGACCATGAAGGCTTTTGTTTAAAAATGTGAGAAAGGAAATTATTTGGAACCTTTATGACAGCTAATTTCCAAGGAACAGGAGCTATGATTTACAGTTACTTCTTGCCACCCCGGGAGAAGGTGTAGGTAGAACAGTAAAGTTGATAGGAATGGTTTAGGAAGGGGTGAATAAAGACATGGAAAATTACATGGATATTTGGAAAGCCAAGATGGGTTGAATGCTTTGGGCTGTTTTTCACCAGTCTGGTACCAAGAGGCTTGAGACCACGGCAGGACCTTCTGGAAGAAGTTCATACCGAGTTCTGTGAATGGAACAAGAGCTCCATGTGGATGGAATGGCTGGGGAGGCACAAGTACCAAACTGCTGGAATGTAGATGTCCCCACCTGACCCACGCCGTGGGCAGGTTTGTGATGAAAGGGAAACCAAATCTTGAAATACCAGCTGGTGGTGAACTCTGCCCATCCCTGTAGTGGAATGGATGGGAAAACTGTCAGAGGAAAAAGCCACTCCAACCTAGTGATGTTCAGAGCTGTGCCCAAGCCAAACACACACTAAGCCAGTCTGCAGGTGGTGCAAAGGATCCAAACACTCTGATGGGATAGTTGGGATGTATGACAAGGGAAGGAAGGTAGAATAGTCCTGTAAAGTATGCTAAAAATCACTGCTTAGGCATATATATACCTTCATTTTTTTTTTAATCAGTAACTGCAAGTTATTTAAGAGCATGAATAAAGAATGCGACAAAATACCCTAATGAGAACCTATTTTGTAAAAATATTAACTGTTCTCTCTGTACCAAACTGAAAAACTTTTGGAAATACAGTGTATCGAGTGGTGTGACATTTATGAAAATAAAGAGAATCAAACTGTTGAAAATGGTGCCTTTTTTTCCCATTTATTTTGACCAGGTAACAAAAACCTAGGTAAGGGTAGCATTGCCTACAGCTCAATACATTCAGTACAAGTTACAGGATCAAGGTGCATTTTTCTGAGCCTTGTTAACATTTTTTTTGTTTCAGACACACCTGACAAGCTGCAGACCCCCCAAGGTTTCCAGGGTCAGCTCTAAATCTATCATGATCAGACTGCAGAAGTGGCTCAAAGAAAGAAATTCATGCGTTTGCAAAACTGGTGGATTATTCTAAGGGTTGTGACTCCACTGGGCCATGTGCTGCCACAGGCATCATTTAACAAGGGGAAAGAGATAATAGGGTGGAGAGTTAAAAAAATAAGAGATATATCTCTCTCTAATCTACTTTCTTTACTTACTTGGCTTTCTGTTTAGGTAAATTTCAGTAATTCAAACTCAAGGAAGACTGTGAAAGGAAATCTTCTGGTTTTTTAACAGGAAAGAAGCTTCCTAAAGTATTCCTGCAAATTCCACACAGAGGAAGTCGCTGATGCATTGTTTAGTCTTAGTAACACCAAGAAAGTTAAAATTCTTACATTAATGGATTAAATCAGATCATCTTTGCGAGCTCACCTTTAAAATTATGATGGCAGGAGAGGAAACTTGGACATCCAATGCCAAATGTAACTGGGTAGCTGAAGAAGAGTCACTTCCTTTCACAATCAGAATTCTTTATAAATTGTTATTAAAAAAAAAAAAAAGGCTTGCTTGGCATCATTTCCCCACGTATGAGCCTTAAAAAACCCCAAGAAAATCCTACAGCTGAAGAAAATTTGAAATAAATATTCAGTATAAGTTATGTTATAATCAAACAGGGCTATTCTAAAGGAGATGCAGGGAGGGGTGTGGGGAACATGTATCTGGTTGTCAAATTTATAACCACTGTAAAAACTTACACTGTTGAAAATACCACAATTTACATTAAAACTTCTCACCTGAACATGTTATTAGTAATGTAGTAACTTAAGCAAAACAAAAACTTGCCCAGACTTGGCTCTAGAAATAAAGCTTTTAAGAAAGGAAGAAAAGTGGCATTGGGATCAATGTACAGAATATATTTTAATGGAATGACTGAAAAGTTGCAAGTTTGTTTTCAACCATTTCAGAGGAAAAGAAAGACTGGAAAGCTCTAAGTCCTTGCTGTTTAGTTACACGTGGTTTTATAAGCAAGAGAACCTACTCAAGGCAGCTCTCTTAAGCTCAGTTTAACAAATGTGTGAAAATTTAATCATCTCTACCTGGTTCCGTGGCATAATAATTTACAACCTTTCCTGCAGAAAGACATTCCCCCCACAATTCCTTCATATTAAAAAACTTAAAAACCTCTGCTTAAAAACTTAATTCTGAGAAACACACAGAGACAGGAAACAAATTACCAGGGTTGCAAACTCACAATCTGGTACCAAATTCTTCGTCAAGGATAAAGAACTCTGAGTGTTCCAGCCCTCGTGCATCTTGGGAACTCAGTTAACTGCCTCTGCCTTCCTTCCCAAAGCTGATGGAGATACCAATATACAGATGTGCTTTAGGCATTTGAAGGCTTATTAAATAGTCATGTGAGTATCATAGAATTGACAAGCTTTAAAATTCAAGCAGCAAATTCCACTGAAAATTTGTAAAGGCAAAAACGTGGCCAAACTGCTATTTTCAGTTGGATACTGGCCATACAGGAAGTTTAACTTGTATTTTCACTATTATTTCAAATTCCTCTGTAGAAACTTCATACTTTTACAACACATTCAAGAGAGCTGATAAAAATTCTCCTGTTTTATACTACAGTAAATTGAAATAAGCAACTCTACTGTGTGGGTAACTACGAATATAATACTCTGTGTAACAATTCATATAGTAATTTAATAATTGGACTATTAAAAAATTTTAAATCCTCCTGTTTTGCAGGAGGTGTCAGCGTATGCTTTTTTGATCTATCACACATGCAAGTGCTTGAGAAAGTTCTTTTAATTCTGACCTGGCTTAGAAGTAACTCAGTAGACTGGCAATAAGCAAATGGACTTCTCTATGTGTCCTAAGAATGCCATGCTTTAATATAATCCTAATTTTCTAGCTTTGGAATGTTTGTTTTTGGTTCTTTTTTCACTCTATCACAAACATGCCTACAAAGAACGTGCATGGAAACAGAGGTCCTGCCAAACTCTTGGGAGCCACAATCAGCAGGAAGACAGCCCCAAAAATATTTTAGGCGTTTGCACTGCCTATATGTGTAGGTACTATTATACTTGCCCACTTGTGAATAACAGGAATAAACAAGACAAGGGACCCGATGATTGAAACCAGAAGGAAAGCCCACAGGAACATTCGGTCGAGCACCTGAGCGATGTATTTCCAGTCTTCCACTACCTGGAAAAACAAAAGAGCACAAGAGGTGGTCAGTGTGTGTGCAAGAACAGGTGAAAATACAGTGCCACATCCTGCAATTCTTAATTGTTTCAAAGTGCACTTCTTTCAACATTTAATACCATTTTGTGATTACACTCTGAGCTTGAACAGGAGTAAACTCCCCCCTGTGGAGATTGGTAAGCTGTGTAGACCAATACTAGATTTTAATGCAGAAACCAACCCTGACAGGCACTGAAAATCCTCATCTCTAGAGAGATGAAACTGGTATTGCATTTTCTAACATACTGCAGCACTCATGGCACGTGACAGCACGAAGTGGAAATCCCAGGGAGGAGCTGGAAACAAAAGTTATTAGAAAAAAAAAAAAAAGAGACACAAACAACTCCCTCTAGCATCTGAACAAACCCCACTACACCTCCCAAATTAATGCAAATGAAAGCCCTGCCAAACAACTGTCTGGGATTTGAACTGGAGCTATCTGCATTTCCCAGGCCTAAAGATTCCCAAGGTGTGAGGCTACAACAGTACTGGCTGTGAGGTGTTTATTAACAACTTTTGCAATTAAAGCTTGCAGATTCTCTGGAGCCCAAGTAATAAAACACAAGTGAATCCCCCACTCATCTGGATGCTCATTTCTGAGGTTTAGAGTCACAAAATCATCACACCTGGAAACCAAAATACTTTTCACTTCTCTTTGTCAGCCACAGTCAAATGCAGTAACTTCACAGGAGAAAGAAAACCAACCCATAACATACAGAATATTATGTATTTAATAGCAAATTCTCTTATTTCTGGTGTTCATACAATGCAGAGCTATAGATGCTGATTTAACAGCACAGCAGACACATTTATTAAGAATCTAGGCCGGATCCCCTGTGACAATGTCAGAACCAAGTCCTGAAAAGGCACATGAGAGGAGTTTGCTTATTCCTAGATGTGAGAACACACTCTCAGCAATCAGCAGCTTCTGAAGAGAGACTTTTCCATTTAAACTGTAATAATCCCAGGCCCTGCCATCAGAAACAGGCAGCAGCATCATGAGACCACACACAAACTTCTATTTTTCTACACCAGCCTGAAGATTCCATTGAAGTCTCTGGTGTCCCAACGGTGCCAGTTTTAAATAAAGAAAAAACATAAAGAAAACAGATTCATAGTGCTCTTACCCACGTGGTGGAAACACTCATTAAGGGTAATTCAAACTGCAAATGCACAGACTGAAGAAAAGCCTTGGACATCTTCTGATGTAACTCAGAGGCAAATAATAATAAGGGCAGAGGAGAACTCTTAGGAAGTCATGTAATCCATGTTTGATCTGAGCACAAAATGACCTCCACAGGGATATAGCTTGTATTTAAACTAATGTTAAGGTAGAGCATTGAAACTGTTTTGTTTGGAATTGAAAGGTGAAGAACACGGCTTGGCACTATTTACTCTGAAAATATCAGGCAAATATAAGGCATGGTTCAGAGAGCCTTCAGGCGCAACATTCAAGTGAACAAACACCTTCTCTCCTCATCTCAGCAGCTCTGCAGGGAACAGTTACAGTACACAAGTGCCTCACAGTGTGGAACTAACAACATGAACCTCCTTTTAGAAGAAAGCAAAAGACTTTTCAAGAACCCAAGGACTGTGCTGTATCAGCCCAACAGCCACAAGAATTCTCAGCATTGTACCATACTCGCACTTCTTTCCAGTGGAAACAGTTACACAGCTTGCAGTGGAGCGCAAACCCTGGAAATCCACAGCACATCTTTAATAGGCCACTGCACAGTAAACCGTCACCTGGTTTTCTGATTTCCACTTGGAGCAGATCATTGTAACAGGACTAACTCACCCACCTCCCGAACTTCGTTCTCCTTCATCACGTGCCTCGTGATGTAGCGGATGGAATCCAGGGCTGCTTCCAAGGTGTTCCTCGACGATTCCGAGCCGTTCGCCTTCCCTGTTTCCTCCTTCTGGGCAAAGTACCTGTCCACGTGACTTCTCATGCAGAGCAGCTTGGGCAGCTTGTGAAGAAAGATCTTGCGAACCCACGGCGCCATCGCGTTGTGCGTGGACGAGGAGCGGTGGTGGATGTTGATGGCAAAGACAGTTATCACGATGGACAAGGTCACGAATATCATGGTGAACACCAAGTACTCTCCTATGAGGGGGATAACTTTGGAAGATGAGGGAATAATTTCTTCGATGACAAGGAGGAAAACAGTCAAAGAGACCAGGACTGAGGTGCAAAGCGAGATTTTCTCGCCTTCGTTGGAAGGCAGGTAGAAGACAAGGACGGTGAGAAACGACAGCCCGATACAGGGGATAATGAGAAACAACGTGTAGAAAAGGGGCAAACGCCTAATTATGAATGAATATGTCACAAAAGGATACCAGCAGCACCCATCAGTCCTGTTTCCCTTGCTCCCCGTCGCAGTCACTATTTCCCATTCTCCGTTATCAAAGAAATCTCTCTTGTCAACGTCGTAATCTTCGAGAATCAGATCGACCTGCGAGCCGTCGTAAGTCCAGGACCCAAATTTCATGGAGCAGTTTTGGAGGTCGAAGGGGAAGAAGGTCACATCGATGGTACAGGAACTTTTATAGTTGGCTGGTGGAGTCCAAGCTATGGTGCCATCGTATTTCACCACAGTTTTTGTGGATGTTCCCTCGAAACGCCCATCTGCACTGAAAGAAGAGAGGAGCTGCAATTACAACGGGGGGGGGCTGGGGGTGGATTTAAATAGGAAAATATGCTTTGTTATTGGCATTTCAGCTCTTTATCCCTTATCCCCCTCGACAGCCAAAATTTTGTACTGTCTTCATAGTTTTTTTGTTGTTGTTAGATCTGAATCTCACAAAGGTAAACAGCTTTGGAAGAGTGAAGACTATTTTTAAGTCCATTAATTTAAAAGTCTGTGCAACTTTCTGTGGCCCTGAAGACTTATGAAAGGATTGTAAAAGCCCTGATCTTCAACAGCATGACCCAACTGTGGTGTTTCTATCAGTAATGCAGCATAAGCACTTTTCAATTTGGCCAAATCATAATTATCAAAGAAAAAACAAGTCACGAAGCTGCGAAAATAACACTTGTTTGGCACCTCCAAACTTGAATTTACTTGAATTCACTGCAACAGCCTTTTATCCTGACTCAACAAGTTCAGGAAATGTAGAAAAGCATTCTACACGCACTCGAGTTGAGCAGAAAGGTCAATTCAAAAGTTATTGCTTCTGACCCTCGGGGATTTTCAAAAGGAAAAAAACCCAAACACCACAAAACCAACACAATTTCCCCCCCCTTAAAGCTGAGGAGACATGATTTCAATTCCACGCTGACTGAATATGACTTATAACAGTATAAATTAGCTGCTCCACTCCCCTCACCCTCCACTGTTTGTCCCCAGCACGGTGCAAGACATTGTTTTCTAACAGGGAGCTTCTGTGAAGAAATGGAAATAAACTTTTTAAAGAGCTGAGAAATGCCATACACGAGCCAAGCAAAACATTTGGCATTTAACCTGGCAACAAAGTCCCTCTCCATCCAGAGGCAAATCCTTCCACACCACCTCAGCTCTCCTAAATGCCCACATGTATCTATATCCAATGAGCCTCCCTTTGCTTAGACAGCAAAGTTAGAAAATAAACGCATTTTAGTAAGATTCCAATCTTACTTGTCATAGAGCACGATGTCTGGAATCCAAATGGAATCTGAGGGGACACGGATAGATGTTATTCCAGCATAGTCTTCGGGATTCCACCTTAATTTCACGTCTATCCATTCCTGAGGGGATGTGAGAGGTGAAAAATCGGTGTTATCGGGGAGTGGATTTAAGGAGGGCGAGACCAGATGAAAACAGACAACGAGGCAAATCAAAGCAAGGAAACTGGCGTCTAAAATCTTTATATGAAACAATTAATCTGCTGAACAGTCACGTGGTTACCTCACTCAGTGTTTGTTTTCTGTTGTAAGAGCCACTCGACAGCATTTCTGTGCAGAACTTTAGATGTGAAGTTCCTTTTTCAAAGCATGTATACACATAAGTAAGGGCTGTTATAACATAATTGAGTTATATAAATTAAATTTGGGAAAAAAAAAAAAAAAAAAAAAAAAAAAAAAAAAAAAAAAAAAAAAAAAAAAAAAAAAAAAAAAAAAAAAAAGCTCGTTCTGAATCAATACCAAACACTGGGAGGTAATCAGAAGCAATTTAGACTTTTTTATCACAGATAAAAAAAATCCATCACGATGGAACTTTGAAAAGGCAGTTCTGATTTCTACCAGCAACACTAAAAACAGCACCATTAAAAGCACAGTAGGGTTTTGTGGTAATTTAGTACTTGAACCACAAGCTCAGGAGGAAGAATTTAAATTTTTAAGAATTCCCCATCAAAAAGAATTTTAAACACATGTACAGGTCGGTTCTTATTTTATTTAAAATGATTCAACCGGTTCAACAAGATCTGCAGAAACTACTAAAGAAAGCACAAAGTGTTATCATCAAGACATTTGCGGAGCAGTCTCAAAGTTTCCCTGAAAATAAAAACTGAAATTACAGTTACTGGAAAAGAAGGGAATGGGAATCAACATAGAAAAAAAAAACAAACAAACAAAACAAAACATAGCAAAAAAATCCAACCAACCAAAGGATAATGGAGCAGCCCAAACAAAACCAGTGATGGAACAGGGGTCTGTAAATATTCTGCTAAGTTAACTCAAGAATGACTCGTGAGCAGCATTTCCCAAGCTCATACTGACAATTAAGTTTAGCACTGCACTCTGATTATTACAAAGCTCAAGGTTTCTTCCTGCCCAACCTCAAATATTCTTAAGAGGAAAAAAAAAAAAATTTCCTTATAGGAAGCACATGTAACTTTGAAACTGGAAATTTTCAGTGATGTTTATGCCACAATCTCAAATATCCCCCAAGTGCAAGACCTCAAAGGTATTTTACAGAACACTACGGTAACCCATACTTTGCTAAACAAAGCTTTGGAATGAAAACTTTTGTTTACTGAGGCAGCAACTTGTGGTTGGATACATGCCATGCCTCAGATTTCTTTTAATTTGGTGAATTTTTATTTACCTTATTTTCGTTTACCTTTTCTGTGTGTTTGTTGTGGTTTTTTAAGAGGTTTGTAACAATTAATCCTTTCAAGCATTTCTAGGGACATTTTACAAAGATAATGGGTGAGATAAAAAAAATCATGCAGCAACTCAATTTTTATTGAACATACAAGTAATTAGAAAAGTTTCTTCCACATTTTCATTTGCAGTTATGAAGCTTCAGAATTTCCCATCAGTGTTTTACACGTACCTGTTTCAACCACACATTTGTTGTCATCAGCTGGTTTTTCTCATCCTACAAAGCAAAGAATAACCAAGAAATTAAAAGAACATTCAGGGTAAAAGGCTGCTTTAGTTCACAGAGGTCTGTAATTTAAAATACCACCCACCCTTCTGAAAGCATTCCAGTCACTAAACATGCATCCACAGTGCATTTTTTTTAATTACACTGACAATAATTTTAGAAGATTAACCCACCGTGTTTAAGCCAAAACATGCACAGGTATTTCACATGACATTATGTTCTAGAATCTTAAAGTCAGTGAGGGAAAACAATCCAATTTATTGGCTGTACATACCACATCCACCAGCTGAGAGATTGCAAGGCCAAACTTGATTTTTATGGTGTCGTTCAAGCGCTCCACTGGCCGAACCCACCTCTGATAGTCCTCAAATAAATGCTTGAACAAACGATCTTCACTTTTGGCGATGAAAGAAGGTTCAGACACACCTATAAAAAAAAGGAAATTTTTTACCACTGATTGAAGTGAACAGTGTCCCTCTGCATTCTTACGTGCAAAGAGCTCCTGCTGTGTTTATGCAGAGCTAAACGTCTCATCCTCTCTTCTACAAAAGCAGGGCCTGGATTCTGGGAGAAGAATTTTAGGAGGTTACCTGGTTTTACTGGCATCTTTATACCATTATCACACTTTCCAACCTGTGAGATAATCTGAGCGACAGCAAAGGCCAAATGCACTTGATCATTTACCTGGTGCCATTACAGGCGTCCTCTAAAACTGGCAGCTGGTCTGTGATAGAGCTTCAGTCCCTCATGCTCCAAACAAAGTGGTGCTTTTTAAAAACCTACACCCACACTGTACAGGTCTGCAATCCACTTTGAAACTTCAGTCTCTTCGTGTTTTTAATGTTTGGACAGATCTATCATGAATAAACTTTGCTGCACTTGCTCGTAGAGCACTTTGCCCCCCACACACTGTTTTGTACCTTAAATGCTTATGCAAATCTGGGCTTTTTTCAAAAGAGATGCAAGTTGTCCTCCAGCACCTGGTGGAGCAACTGCTGTCCTTTTCTCTTTGGGAATCTATGAAAAATTTGGGGTTTACCTACGTGTTCTCACTGAAGTGGATCAGAAGAAACCCTGCCACACAAAAAAAGGGGTAACAGCCTTCAAAGGTGGTGTGAAACACCTGAGGGTGCCTCGAGAATCAGCACAAACTCCACACATCACCTTGAATGGGTCTCCAATTCCCAGACAAAAGTCAGAACAACCACCAGAAAACACAAACTCTAAACAGAGATTTTTTTACTACTCGCTGATGAGGTCTGAACTGACTGAAACTACTGCCAAAGAGCTAACAATTAATATTGCCACTTTAAGGGACAGAACAAACAAAAGAAAGGAGTTTACCAGCATCTCTTTTTTAATGCAGACTTAAAATATTATGCCATTACATAAATGCATGGCATGACCTCTCCAGGAATCACGTGCTCACTAACAGCACCCATCTAAAAAAAGATATATCAGAAACAGAAAAGCACCAGAAAAATGTCATAAACAGATTAAAACCAGAGACAGTCATCCAAAGATGGAGAGATTTAAAAGCTTAACATAATTTTGTTCGGAGAGGAGGTAAATTTAGTCGACAGAACAGAAGTAGAGCAAGTAGTGACCAATATATACTAGTATTTAAATGATGCAGCCACAGAGGGCTGCACACTTACAAGTTGCCTTCACAGCTGTGAGGTTAAAAAATATTTCTTTTAATTGGTTCAGTTTATCCTCGTTAGCCAAGGAATTGTCCTTATTTGCAACTATGCACGGATTTGCCAAGCCCTGCATGTCACAGGCACCCAAAAAAAACCCGCTTCCTGAAGGCACAATTTAATTTCTCTCTTTCTATATCCCCATTTCCTGAATTATGGATGGTTTTGTGTATATTTCAGCCTAATGTTTCATAAATACTCCATGTTTGTATTAGCATTAATTACATTTCCCTGCTACAGTTACAGCTCTCAACTGCATTTTTCTGTACAATTCGAGGCTGCCTATGCAGCTGGATATTCTCTCTGCATTAATTGACCTTGAAGCGATGCAGAGGCAAAGTTGCACTTTCACCATCCCTGCGTTCTGTAAGATGACCTCCTGTGCAGCCACACAGCATTTCAGGGTGTGTGGTGGTGTCTCCAGATTAAGTTTCTTTTAAAACCCAGCGACCTCTCTGCTCTGCTAAATGGGGACGTGTTATTTTACTGCTTTTATATTCTTACAGATCTTTTTCCAAACATTTTACACTGCATAGACTGCACGTGTTTCATTTCTCTTTTCCACTGTCTACATGCTTTTAAAATTACAACAAAGGATGTGATTCTTCATTACTCCTTGTATTAACATCACTAACAAAATAAATCGTGAAGAACTGATGACACGCAGAAAAAAAATGTACAGAAGAGAAGAAAACAGGTAAAACACAGTTCGAGGCTTAAGGCAGCAGAATAACTATGAAAAATAGAGGTTAAAACCCATGACTAGCAAGATTAGCAAACCAACAACCCGCAGGACAATCTCATCCTAAATCAGATGGCAAGAGATTATGGAAGCATCGCCCCTGCCACGAGCTCCCTGTGCTAAAATAAACCTGCAGGTTCGTTTGTAGCCTCTGAGGGGCAGTTCTAAACTTGCCTGTATTTGGGTGGCTTCACTTTTGTTGGAGCCTGAAGTAACAGGAAAATACTTTAAGTGAAACACTTTGGTTAAGTAGAAATTCTAATTAAACACTTGATCTCAGACAAAACTGTATTTAAAAATTCGGTTCTACCATCTCCTCCCTAAGCACTTCACAAACTTCTTTTATTAAAGCACTTTGGAAGAACTACTTGGAAAACAGGAGGAAGCACTAGAGGGGTCTCAGATGCACAACAAACCATGCCCATGTCTATTCATCTTATTCTAAACTCAGAATTTCACTTGGGCTGCTGATGGCAGACTTTTTAAAGGCCACAGATAAATTACAAAAGTGTTCTTCTTTTGTAAAATCCACCTTGTTACGCTGTTTCTTACTGTACCATTATGGGATTAAATATCTTAGCACATCGTTCTTTGTATAAGAATTACCAGTTAAACTATCAGTGTTGCAGCTTTATCTCAGCTGTATTTCCATAAATATTTGTTTGTTTTTAAATGAGAAAACACCACAGTGCACGTTCCCCCAGAGAATGAGCTTTCTTTGAACTCTCCATTCCTCTGCACTCCCTTAGATAAAGTGTCATACTGGGACTGCAGGTGTAATGCTGGTCCTTGCACATTAAACACTGCAGTTCAAAGCATTTGCTAATTGATAAAACCGAGTGTTAATGATTTCAGGATTTCTCTGCATCACTACCCGGTGCATTTTCAAAGGAGGTCCGGGGGAAAAAGGAAAGGGTGGCTTTTTAGAAGCCTAATGTTAAGATGTAGATTCAGAAATAATATATATTACTAATACACTTTTATAACCATATACCATTGTAATGAGAAAGGGCAATAAACACAGCAAAATATCCATACTTTGTAGTTAACATTCTATTGTTTAACTGTGCGTTATCATAACATGCAGACTGTTATCCACAAATCCAACTACCACAAACTACAAGTGATGATTTTCTTACAAGCCTGGAAGGTGAATGAATATATGCACTACACCTGCCTTCAGTACACTCATATTTATTGGGATGATTTCCCACCATTACTTCATTAAGTAGAAAATACATGTAATATAGTAAATGAAGCACAAAATGGAAGTTTTATTTCTGTCCTGACTCCCCCCTCCCTTTTAAAAGGACCACTTTCTGCATGGCCCTCAATTTTCTGGCCTACTTTTCCTCCCGTGCTTCAGCAATTGCCAAGAACCCAATCACAAACAGTCAGAGTTTAATTAACAGCAAGCATTTAAAGAGATCAAAATCATCTTTTCTAGGATGTCTGCAAGTCAAAGCAGCATCACTAACTCCATCCAATTTCCCGAAAAAGGCTCAGAAAAACCAGTTGTTACATCCTCAACTCCTCAGAGCTCCTTTTTTTTCCTCCCCTCTTTAAAAAACTATACCTACAAGCACAGAAAAGGTGGTTTATACAGGGCTTTCAAGCTACTGGGAGGATTTGTGCCTTCTCTCCTACCTCACACATCAACCTCTGCCCAACCAGCAGCAAAATAAAATGACACACATTGAACGTGAAACTATGAGGAATTTTGAGGTGTTAACACTGGACCGTGAAGACAGCACTGGGAAATGCTGAGAACAAGCAGCAAACAAGGTGCATCCAAGCGCAGAGTGAAACAGGAAGGACAAGGATGCAGAATCGTTTAAGTAGAACCATTTACACATATAAATGTAGAGGCTGTGCATCAGGGAAGTGAACACAAACCCAGGATTTCTGTGAGTAAGGCACAGGCTGAGGATTCTCACAAGTTGCCAGTGCAGCCACTGGCGTCACCTTCTGCCACAGCAGCATTTTGCCCACCCAGCCCATTTCCAGCCGTGGATACATCAGAACATACAATCCCACAGCTCACAGAAATCAGAGGCTCTGGTTAGAAATCAGGTCCTCTGCTCAAAACCAGATACAGAGTAGAAGATTTCAGAACACACCACACAAACCCCGGGTTTTACCGTTCTAAAAACTGGGAAACTGCAAGTACTTCCTCTCCCAGAGTTGCCTCTACAAATCAACACAGACATTTCTCCACGAATCAACGCTCGTGGTTTTCTCCCTAAGAATCTTTCTAAGAATCAGGTCTGCAGCACAGCAGAGCTAGAGGTGCTTGGTAACCTCGAATCCACTCGGACAGTTAAGTCTCACCTCAGTTGAAGATTCAGTGCAAGGAACAAACCTTATAATTTGATTGTATTTAAAATCAGCAAGTATTTTGCCTTGACAGTTCACAGTTATCCAAGGTAAAGTGTTAGTTCACTGCTAATGAAACACCAAATTAACTTACAAGCACTCTTACAGCAAATTTCATGTTATTTTAGAGCAAACAAACTGCGAAAAGGAAATGTTATCCTCACTATGTATGATCAGCTCTCAATGGAGTCAAAACTGCTGGCTTGTGCCAAAAGGCCAAATTTAGTTTAACCAAAATGATTTTGCACAGCAATATCTTCTCTCATGACGAGAAACACTTTTCCAAACGCTGAGACAAAGAATAATCTTTTAAGTCACGTTCAGCAGTAATAGACTATTTGTCAGCTGAATTAAAACAAAGACATCAACACAATCAATTTTCCATAAACCATACTTAGAACCACTTTGCCAATTTCGAGTTAATATTAAAAAAAAAAAAAAAAAAAAGGTCAAATTCATTTTTCATTCATTTTCTTTCTGCCTGTAAATACGGCAGTTATGGTTTCAGAACATTCTGCAAAACTCTTTGCAAGATACCCATTAATTATATACAAGCAATGCTTTAAAACAACTGTTTCTAAATAAATCTTTGACGAGTGATTTTGCTCCTTTAATCTTTGTGTAATTCTATAAACACTCCAGCTTCACATGTCGTTTTACATCCTTCAGCTCGGAAAGTTACATCCTGATTGAATTACGAGACTGACTCTTTTGAAGTCGAACAAATAACGCACGACCAAACTAAGGAGAGTTCTATTATGAATTCTTAAGAGGGTTCTTTTTACGTGCAGTCACACCCACACGTGAAACTGCAATTATTAAAACACATTCTGAAAGTTTACCTCCATACCAACTGCAGGCACTCAAACCTACAAACTGTGCCAGTGAGCAGAGCAAAAACTGCAAGAAAGCTGTGGCAGCTGAAATCTTTAAAGTGTATCACAATACGCGCACACCTAGAAAGCATGACCACTGTGTAATGAAATGTGTGTCAGTCGAGAATGATGTGCACCTGAAAAGCCGTAATTTGGCAGAGGCACTTTGCCCTCGCTGTGCCCGGGGCAGCCCAGGGGAGGCGGTCTGACCGCGGTCTCCGTACGTCCCGTTCCTTTTTTTTAAAAGCCAGCGATGCCCCCCCAGCCCAGCTCAGCCCCCTCGGCACCAGCCCCACCTCAGCCGAGTTCGGCCAAAAGTTGACGCCGTGGAAAGCGAAGCAGGTCGGTGGCGGCCCCAGCCCGGCGGTGTCTCCCCCCACACGCGAAATCCCGCCCGTCTCCCCTCACGAACCGCTCCCCGCCGGGCGCAGCCCGGGCCGGCAGCGGCGCCCGAACCCCCGGGCCGCGGTACCACCCCCTCCATCCCCGGCGGCCCCGCACATCGCCGGGAGGGCTCTGCCCCCCAACCGGCCGTGCCCTGCCCTCTCCCACACCCTCCCGGCTCCTGCTGAAGCGCCTTTCCCTTCACCCCGGCCCTCACCCCGCGGGGGCCGCCCCGCGCCGCCTTACCCGCCTGCGGAGCTCCGGGCTGGGCGAGCCCCAGGGGCGCGCAGAGCCAGCTGAGGAGGAGCAGGAGGAGCCGGGCGGCGCGGCCGCAGCTCTGCAACCCCGCTCCGCGCCCGGCCATGGCTGGGGCACGGCCCCGGCTGCCTCCGAGCCCCGCAGCCGGGAGCGAGCCGGGCGGGAGCCGTGAGGGAGCCGTGAGGGAGCCGGGCGGTGCTGGCCCCGCCCCGCGGGGGCCGTGAGGGGGCGCGAGGGGCGGGAACCGGCGCAGGGCGCGGGCGGCGGTCCCGGCCCCTCGGGGACCCCAATACCCCCCACCCAAACACCCCACACACCCGCACCCCCAGACACCCCACACCGCCCGCCGCGGCCCCCCCGGGCTGCCCCAGCCGCTCCCGGAGCCGGTGCCGCCGCAGGAGCTGCCGGCAGGTACCGCCGCTCCCTCAGGCTCGTCCCCGCCGCTCCCGCGGAAAACTCCGGCAAACCCCAACCCGGCCAACGCCCGCTGCTTCCACACCGTGCTCTTGGGAGGGAGTGAGTTTCGGTGGCTTCTAGCGAAAAAGAAAAGGAAAATTAAACTAACTTTTAATTTCCGATCCGTATGAAACACTCAGGAGGTTTTTTTGTTAGTGGTTTTTTTGGTTTTTTTTTGGTGGTTGTTGGTTTTTTGGTGTTTGGTTTTTAAGTTTCTAAATCAGTAGGATTTTTTTAAAGTTTCTGAATCAGAATATTTTAGAACTTTGAACCAAAAATAGGAAGACTGATGCAAGCTACAAAGACCCAGGATATTTCCATCTTTATGTATATTGCAGATATACATACACATCATATGTATAATAATATATAATGACATATATAAACCTCACATAAAACACATATATAACATATATCTAACATATAAATACTCTGTACAAAAACACCCACCTTTTTTTCTGTATCAGATAAATAAAATCTGTTCCAAAAGACAACCTTCAGTGCACGAACTGTGAAACTCAATTAGTGATTTTTCCTTAATTGTCCTAATGGAAATGCACGGTGTACGCATTGCCACAGAAAAATAGAAGCAGCTGGCATTAATGCATTTTTTACATCTAAGATATGAATATTTCACAGAGAGAAAAGATTGGGAAAGAAGAGCTAAATGGCTTCATAGTGCTAATCAGCTGCAACATGAAAATGGTCCTTATTTACCTCAAATAATTTTAGCAACTTTATACCTTCCTAAAATGAGCATTACCCAAAGTAGCAGGATTTCATTAAGCATGTTGTCAGTTGTCAAAACTCTTTTACAGGAAAATAGTGCATCTCTCTGTATAAACTATGAATCTTCTCAATGACCGAAACGGAATATTGGAGCATTTGGATCCCTTACTTTTTAAACTCGTGTTTTTCTGCACGATCTTACCCTGCAGCCGTATTTGGGTTGTGCCTGTCGGTGCAAGACAGAATGCAGGCTGTGCAAGCAGCCAGGAAAAGGCTGCTTACACAGGAGTTTCTTCCAGCACACTTCTATTGATCTGAATACCCTGCAGTAAACATGGTCATTTTATACAGTGAGAATCTGTCCTGCACAATCAAAACATATTATGTGTGAAAGGATGCAGCAGGACTCTAATTCTGAAACGCTCACTGGTGTATGCAGTGGTCGAGCCAAGATTTTAGAGTAAATAAAAAATATATTTTAGCCCAAAACGGGGCACAAAAGAACCCCCATTTTAATTCTTTTTGTGACACACCAGAGTTCTGGCGTTTTCTGAGCGCTCCAAAAATTCCTTGGCAGTATTTGTACCGAAATTGCAACTCTGTGGTTTCTGATGACAGCTGGTCCAATTCACCACTGCACTGCACCTGGTGTTCCTGACACAGGTTTATCGTGTAAAATCTGCATTTCTGTCAGCAGAGTGCGTGTGCCCTGCAGGAAAGGCATTTTAGAGCCTTTACGTCCCGTTAACAGTGTTGAAGTCGCTGCCACTTGAACGTGCAGGACGTAGCAAAGTGGTTTTATTACATAACTGTGGATTTGTGTGCAGCTGGGTCCTAACCAGGCAAAACAGATGCTGGAAGATATAAAAGGATTAAACTGTCTGGGTTACGTGCCCAACCTTTTGCTAAATATTTCATGTAGCAGCATCATCTGGCACACGTTAATTATGTTGTGCTATTACTGTTTTAGAAAACAGTAGTTATAAATGAGCAGCTGTTTCTTCCCGCTGCGTTGAGCTTGGAGCAAAATGTTAATAAGAACACCAGCATGTTAAGTTTAGCGTTTGTCATGAAGTGAAAGCCTAAACAATTACACGAGTAATGGTGTCTTTCAAAGGGCCTTTGTCAGCAGGAGGTGACATCTGAAGGTCCCCCACTAAAGTATGCTCTGAGAATCTGCAATAAATTGGCTGATGGCAGCTTTTACTGTGCACTGAGCAGCAGTTTAACTGGAAAGCCAAATGCCAAATTAAACACAGATAAAAATAGCAAGCTGCTCAGTTCTCTGTGTAAAATCAGAAATATTCTAAAAACTTTGGGAAGCTGAATTTTCTGCAGATTAAAGCCGGTGAAGGATACTCTTAGATCACGTTACTTCAGTGGCTTTTCATATGGCAATAGAAATAACCGCCAATTAAAACTTGAAAATGAGGACAGCTTTTACCAGAGAAGAACTGTAATGGGAAACGCTCTTTAAAGAAAATGAAAGCCACTGAAGTCCTAGAATCTCATCTGGTCTGAAGCTGCACAATTTCTCTCACGTATGAAGTACCCAAGTGCATTAACTCCCTGGACTGACTTGTACACACTTAGCTCTGTTATCCATGGATCACATACAGTCCTGGGGCCTCTCAAACCATTCATCTGAACACTTGCAGTCGATAATGAAGGCATTCTCACAGCCCAGTGGAGAAGTACTGCCCCTATTCCTGAGGTTCTGAACAGAAAGAAATCCATACCAAACCACAATCAGCTGTCAAATTCAACATCCCAAGTTTTTCACCTCAATTTGGGTGCCTTTGTAACTCACAAGTAAAATATCTGGATGAAGAGGGAAGCGTACCTAAAGGAGGTCATAGCAGAAGCAGTCTCAGAAGTAAGTTTGCCTTTATTTGAACAGAATACAGTCACCTAGAAAACAAGCTAGCTCTCTGTTTAAGCACTGACAGATGCAAGGACAGCACAGATATTACTGGAGAAGCGGTAGTTTCATCACCTCTTAAGCTACTTAGAATAACAAACCACGTTACAACCTCTTAGGACAATCTATTTGTGAATATTTGCATATTTGCCCTATCAAGCTCTATCATGCAGTCAAGTGAGATATAAGCTACCCAGGTGATAAGTTTACAAACATCATATTAAGCAAACAGTTTCAAGTAAATACTTTAAGCTAATTTGAAAAATCTGTCACCTTCCACAGCACCACACAAAGTTCTGGTGTTAAAATAACATTGAAGCCACAGCAATAGCTAAATATTTGAAATATTTATGCAATACACTGTCAACTCTACGTAAACACTACGCACACCAAAAAATAATTAAAAAAAAAAAAACATACAAAGAACAGGAAGATCTTTTGATTAGCAAAGATACCTCAAATGTATCGCCAGAATCATTTTCTGTTCTTACGACTTATCCCCAAACCACTCCCAGAAAAGGCACAGACGGTGGTGATTTTTTTTTTTTTTTTTTTTTAGTTTTGTTTTGTTTTGTTTAAACACACAAAGCCAGAATCAACACAATAGGCCAACGCAGTCAAACACTGCTCTTATCTCTAGGAAGAACAGGTAAGGAACTTGCAAGGATGGCTCAGGAAGATTCTAGTCATGAAAGATCCCCAGCATCTGCTTATTGCCCTAGGCTCAAATGCAGAAAAAAGAATCAGAAATTTCAATTTATTTCAGGAGAACTTTGCTGTACATCTTGGACAGGAGTGCCAGCTGGAGTTACCTGCCTGCTCCAAGGCATTACTGAGGCTCAGCTCACGATCAGCTATTAATGGCACTCAGGAGAGATGATGGCTCTTTGAAATTAAATTGGTAATTACCGTTCAAAGATTGTACTCATAAAGTACTTGACACTACTTTTACTTTGGGTAAACAAAACTAATTTAAATAAAGATCTTTGAAAAGGTAGTGTAACCACACAACTCAACGCTTCAAGACATAACGGAGCAGAGATCAGAAAATTACTTAAGTCATTCCAACATTTTTGTTATTATAGTTCTCCTATAAAAAGTTCTCCTTTACCAGCAAAATATGCAGTGTTTGGCAAAGAAATGCTATCCCCATTTTGTTACAAAAAGATGCATTTAAGAAAAAATATTTCGGTAAGTCTACATCCTAAGCTATCTAACAATACTTACATGACTCCACTAAACAAACTGCCTTGCGTGGGCTATGTACATCGATGAACACAAGCTCAGGTGCTCTCCTGGTTTCCCAAAAGACAAGAAAGCATTGCTGGAGCCCATCCCCTTTTGTTGCAAGTCGTCTTTGAGAAGTGAGACACAACTCCATTTTGGCATTGCTGTTTTAGAGCACGTTCCAAGCACTTGCATAACCATCATCAGCGATCCAGAAATCTGCAAAAAGAGGCTGATATATTGCAATCACGGTATCAAAAAATAGAAAGACTGAGCACTGGGATTCTACATAAAAATGGAGCTTGAGGTATTTATACAACCCTTTATGATGGAGATTGAATCTTACCCGTTGCATGTTGTCTGCAACTGTTCAGGGCTCCTTACATGAAACACCATTCCTGTGTCAGTTTGGAAGACCTACTGTTGCACAAGGTGTAAATGAGTCAGTCAAGCTTTTACTGGCTGTAAAATTTGAATATTAACCACGTGCTGTCTAAGTTCAGTACAAAAGACTAAAGCAATTGGCCTGCACTGAGATGTAGAGAATGACCAAGCACAGGCCCTGCAGCCTGGAGAGAGCCCCCAGCCAGCCCTGCTGTCCCTGCAGAGGCTGCCAGAGCACAGGGCATCTGCACAAGCTGCAGCACAGGCACCTCAAGGCAGATTCCTTCCCTCTGTTCTCAACAGTGACTCTTACAGCAGCGAGCTCAAAAATGGGCTTAGCGGAGGGGAAGGGTCATTTCTGGCCATGTTGACGAAGTACATTTTAGTCAAAAGCGTCTGGGATGGGTTAACAACAAAACACTGCATGGATTCGCTCAGTCTGGTCGTGTTCAACCCTGCACACATCAGGTAACCTTTGGGCTGAAAATCCCACCAAACCAATCCAGCCAACCAAAAAAAGCTGCGAGATCGATGCAATGCAGGGGGGGCACAAAAGGGGCTGGATCACCAGTGTCACAGCTGCAAATTCAGCAGGTCCCACTGGAGCTTTTCAGTTTGCTCTTGAGATCTGAAAGGGTGCACAATGATTTTCAGTAACTTGTTTTCATTTCCTCTGTTTTGGTTTGGTTTTTTTTCCAGAAGAGATTTCTGCTAATCTGAAAATTACACTTTCCTGCATTCAGTATACGGACAAGCTGGACAAAAATTATTATCATTTCTAATTCATGCACAAATATCATTATTTCTTAGGTGGTTAACTGTTGTGCCAGAAAAGGGAACCAAATTCTCTGGGGAAGTATCAGCAACACTAAGCTAAACATAAAACATCTCACCTTTCTTTCACGATAAAATGTGAAATAGTCAACATGGCCTAAAATCATGCACTCTTTTATTTACCTATTTTTATTCTGACAAGACAGATTAACATTTTCACACGGCCTTTGTAAAATGTCTTCCTAGTTTGTGTGTGAATACAGCTCGTGTAGTATTAGTAATTTCTTAGAAAACACATGCACTGGTGAAGGCTATGATAAACTGAACACATTTGCTACAGGGCATTTTTAAAACACTTACTGCTTGCAAGACCATCAGTTTGACAGAGCCTGTTACAGAACAAAATAGGCCAAAAACTAAAACTTGGCATGCCAGCACACTTTAATTCTGTATTTTGTGAAATGGCTTCTCAAACTACGGAGCTCTTTGCACTACCTTAAAAGGAAAACCCACACATACACACAAAGTTCTAACAATTCTAACACCATATTTGTTCTTTACCAACTAGCATATACCTTGTTTCAATGGTTTGAAGCGAATAAATTCCTCAAGATTGTGCACATCCAGGCATTACTAAGGAAATAAAGACACCCATCACTATTCTTCTTAAATTTTATTCCATTAAAAAAAAAAATAGAAGATGAAAGAAATAGAGTGTTCAAGAATTAAAGCAATTATTGGTCAATGTAAGGAGCGGTAAACTAATTATCTAAATGATGATTAAGGACCTGGTTCATCAAAAGTAATTCTGGGTCCTCCATGGCTTCTACTAGACAGAAATCCAGATTATCTTTTACTGAAGCAGGTCCTTTATTATCTAGAGAACACTTGATTTCATACTCTATTTCTCCTTCTCTTTTTGTTCCTTTTCCTTCTTTTCACGTTCAGCTTTCGCCTCCTCCTCCTCATGTTGCTTAATCAATTGTTCCACCTCCTTCTGCTTCAGAACCCTTATCACTGTCTTTCCGTTCTCTCTCGTCAGTGTTGCAATTTCAACTGAAACACATGGAACAGACAGCGCGTTAACAGTTTGTCCTGCGGGCAGAGCGATCAGCACAGGGGCGAGCTTTGGGATTAGGAGGGACAGGCAAGCGGAAGGCTCCTGTCCTCCCGCTGTTACCACTGTTTGCACGACCAAAGAGCCAACACTCCACATCTACACCACATGCCCTCACCGCTGCAGGAGCTCACCTTTCTCTGCAGAGAGCTTGCTGACGTCCATGGTTTTGTTCAGGACCTTGATGGCCAGTGCCAGCGCGGTCTTTAAGGTCATTTCTCCTTCCTTGTAGTCCTGCTTTAGCATTGACACGGCTGCCTGTAAATGGGACAGAAGTTAAAAAGGTATCTTTGGGCAATCAACCGAACCTTTGGGCTTTTTGGCAGATAATATCAATATTATCAATATCAGTAACAGCAGCATTGCTAGAATTACCTGTAAATCTCTTCTGCACGGTAATCAACAACTTAGCTGTGGCATCACAAATTCTAATTAGTACAGTGCAATTTACACCTTTTTCCTTGTTTTGTTTTGTTTGTTTGTTTGTTTTTTGAGAAGAAAAAGCCCAGAACTCACAGCGCTGTTATTCCCAATGCACGTAGCTTTCCAGCCTCCATAATTTCCACTGGGATCACTCTGGTACAGCTGAAATCCATAATGCTTATCCCAGCCAATATAGAGCAACGACACACCAAAAGGGCGTTTTCCTGTTGAAAAGAAGGCTATTAGCAATCTAAATTTAGCAACCAGATTGGTCATGAGTGACAATTATTTTCTTTGATTTCTTTTTCCAAATCTGTCCCTGTGAACTGGGATTTAACACAGACAGTTCTGCACTGCTGTTGCTTGAGATAAGCAGGCCAGCATTTCTTTTTAAGATTTTAAAGGAAGGGGGGGAAGCAGCAGAGGTTTATTCCATTTAACCCCGAGAGCTCATTTCTGTAAATTATCATCTCAGGACTTTAAACCAAAATTGAATATTTAAAGCATGTAGCTTAGCTGTTAAAATGTTTAACTTAACAGTGTCAAAAGCTAAGTACCTAAAAGGTAATTCCTTCACACTACACATATGGAAAACAGAGAATCATCAGTTCACATGCTAAGGAACAAGACAACATCATTTTCTGACATGTTGCTCGAGCCACAGAAATACTATTTTTTGAAGTGTTACATTTTGGGTGGGCCCCAAATGTTGAAAAGCTGCCTCTCAAACAATTCTCTGCTGGTCTTTTGAAGGCACGGATGAAATGCAAGAGCACTCAAAGCATTCTGTGCAACGGGCTGGCATCTCAGCCATCAATTTCCCAATCAATAAAAAGTAGCACCTTCAGCAGCAAAGCAGTAACCATGACTACCCTCTTAAATTAGGCTATTGTTTTTCTCTCAGTATAACTTGCTGAGAAGAATTCAGTGGAGCTGTCCAGAGATTTAGATCCTTCATGTATTATGTCACAGAATCGTTCCTCAGACATTTAATAACACAATGACTCATCACCCTCCCTTACCTCCAAACTGTGTGTAAGCCTGCTTGATATCACACAGCGCTGTTACCAGTTGTTCACAAGGAATGGGCTCTTGATATTGTAACAAATACCTAATGTCAAAGAGGGGGAAAAAAAAAACGGTTTTCAAAACTTGTTTTGCTGACAGTATTCTGTACCACAAGTTCCCAAGTTAGAGCCTCTTTGATCTGGCTGTTGTATTTCAATCTACTTCTGATCTGCTAAACGCACGCTCATTTTGATTTAACACGCAGGGGACTGAACGTGGCAGGGCAGGCAAGTGAAACCACATTAACCATCAGCAGACCTACCTCTGTGCAATCAGTCTGAGCTCGTTTGTTAGAACATTGGCATCTGAAGTGATTCCTGCCACACTGCAAGCCATGTCCCTGCAATGGAAGCACAGACCGACTGAATTCCCATCCATCTGCAGCCAACAGCCACATCTCCACACAGGGGGACCAAGCACAACACCTTCTGTCAGGCCTGTCTGATCAAAACTATTTAGCTGCCACATAAAACAGCTTCATCAGCTCCTGCCTTTGGGGTACACCAGAAATATCAGTAACCATTCCCTGAGAGCAGAGCTGGACACAGAATGTGAGTCAGCACATTAGTTCCACAGATAGTTTTGAGAAGAGGGTCATGCCCAAAGGTGATCAAGTCCTGGGTGGCTTTACAAGAGCCACAAGGTACGTGCAGGTGCCTCTCAGGAGGCCACCAGATGTGGAACCACACAGATGTGACAGCCCTCCAGGAGCTGCTGGGTGACACGCGGCATCTGTGTCACTGAAACTCAGGGGTCTGGATACGATCCTAACAAAAGCACTTCACATGCTTGATTGTTTGTTAGCTCTTAAATGAAGAGCTCTTCAGCCCAACCTGATGTTGCTACAAAGCTTTCGTTACCCCAGAAGGATTTGTGAAATTAGGAATTCCCCAGAAAATGGCAGGGGTGTTCTTACACTGCCTCCTCTAAAATCCAGTGCTTCCTAGTGTTCTAACTCCCCTCATGATCAGCACGGAATGGGAGGCTGACAGGAAGAAAAACTGTTTGTGTTTCATGTGCACCTTCCAGCAAGGATGAAGCTCTACCTCCCTTTCAGGCAAGAAAGCATCATCTGTAATTATCTTTGCTGTGACGTCACAAATTTAATTTCCAGAGAACTAAAACGCAAGTTGTAACAGGGAGAGGTATCATTTCTGCTACAATTGTGGCAAAGAAGCCTAAGGCACTCAATCATCTTGTTCTCTTTGAGTCACCAAAATAAAACAAAGAAGAGGATACTAAACTGAAGTAGCACAGTGGTTCCTGTGTGCATTCTTCATTCTGCCCCCCAATGGTACTTTGTAAAACAGAATTCCCAATTTTCTGAGGTGCTGCAATGCCATTACCTTGTATGGCACAGTGCAACAAACAGCACAACTATTGCACCTGGAAAATTCTCCTAGAGACAAAATAAACCCAAACCAAGCAATCCTTCTGCTTTAGAGGGAGAACTACTGAAGTGAGCAGCAACAAAACAGTCACACTCGTCTAAAACACCAAGCCAAAAGACTGTTAACACTTCCAGTTAAATAAAACCAGGTTATGTGCTAATCAGCTTTTTGTTACTAATAACATCACCAATCATCATTTCAACTCACTCGTTCAGTTTGTAGATTTTCTCTGAGAAGAACACCTCATCGAGCAGCTTGTGGATGTTGCGTCTCTCTGCCGCCAGCAGGACTCCGTCGTTGGCCAGAATTCCCAGGCAGGTGCCTGCGTGTCCGATGGCTTCCATGGCATACTCCACCTGGTACAGGCGACCTGGGAGAGGGTTTCAATCAACTGCGGCAAAAAGCAACACCCAACAACACCAAGTTCACGCGGTGACTTCAACTGGCACCAATCCGGCAGGTGCTCGTTATACAACCTGCTCTTAATTCTCCAGTCTGGTACCAGTTGATAGGAAATTAACAGGTGGAACGGGAGGAAGGAATCAGAGAAGGAAAAATCCTAAAAGGGGGAAAACACCCTTTCTTTAAAAACGTTTAAAAAAAAAAAAATCCAGAGAAGTCTCTACTGCAGGAAAATGAGCCACAGTGGATTTTCAACAATCAAAGAAAATATCTGATACTGAACTTTTTGAGTCCATCCATCTAAGAAATAGAAAAACGCTGTGTACATGCACCATGCACGCTTGGTTTCAGCATGTGCAAGAATAACAAGCAGAGGTGTGACTGCACCAGCAGGATATTGTCCAGTCTTGGGGGACAGTGACAAAATCCAACCACATCAAATAGGAGTTAAATGGTTATTTAAAAAATGTGGCAGGTGATATTACTCACTAACAGGGGAAGGGTTTATTATTGCTTCAGTTAGAATGGATTTGGAAATGTCCACTTCGGACCCTTGGTGTCCTTACAGAACTGGGTGCTACTTCTGTTGGGCAAATATGATTTCTGTAACTCATACACAGATGGAAACACGCTATGAACAACCAACCTTCATGCAAGTGAGAAGATGAATAGAGCAGTCAGAGTTTACTTGAAAGTGTGGGGTTAAAAAATACCTTCAGGAGAAAATATGGTAGTTCTGGAGTCATATCTTCGAGACTGTAAAAAGCAATAGCTCAGTAAGTACCGTCAGTCTCTTGTCACCAACCCTCCGAGTCCCCGTGCGCCAGAACAGACCCAACCACCCGGTGAGCTCCGGTCTGACCGCCCGGGCCGTGACTCGGCAGCACCGCGCCCCGCAGAGCCCCGGGGAGGGGGACACTCACCATCGTGCCGGGGACGCGCCGCGGGCAGCGGGCCTACGAGGGAACCGGGAACGGGCACGGGAACCGGCACCGGGCCTGCGGGGGAACACGGCACACGTGAAGCGGCACCAGCACCGAGCGCTCCCGGCCTGGCCCCAGAGGGCGCTCCGCCCGCCCGCACTGCACAGTCATCCTCAGCGCGGCGGAACGCCAGGGCCTCGCCGCCCCCCGCGCCGCGCAGGGCCGCGTCTCGCACCCCCCATCCCGCCCGCCGCCCGCCCTCACTCACGGCGGGTCGCAGAGGAGCCGCTGGGCCGGGCGGGGCCGGCGGGTCCCGTCCCGCGGCACGAACCGGGCGAGGCGGCCGCGCCCGAGCCTTCACCGCCGCCTCAGTAATGGCCGCCGCGCCTGCGCCCTGCCGGGCGCCGGGGGGCGGGGCCTCTGCCCTTCCCTGCCACGCACGGGGCGGGGCCACGGAGCGGGAACGGCCACGCCCCCCGCCTGAGGGTCAGTGATGGCCACACCCCCGGCCTGAGGGTCAGTGATGGCCGCACCCCCCGCCTGAAGGCCAGGAACAGCCACAGCTGTGCCGTGAGGGTCAGTAATGGCCACACCTGTACCCTGAGGGTCAGTACTGGCCCTACTCTGCTGTGAGGGCAGGAAATGGCCACAGTCACCGGGGAAGAAAGACCAAGCCCGGTTCCCGCCGTGCTGGCGAAGGAGCCCCATCCAGCCCAGGCAGCACCCACTTTATTGCCTTTATATATCCAGTGTCACTGCTGGTGACACCTCAGCAGCCACCGACCGACGGGGCAGGTGTGTGCTGTGCGTACGCCCGGGCAGTCTCAAACCATTTCTTCTCCACCGCTTCCTGGCCCATCTCAAACATCGTCATTAAGTGTTTCCAGCCGGTTTTGGCCGTGATCATGAGGTAGTCCCTGTTCTCGGGGTACAGCAGAGCCGTGTGGGCGGCGATGACGAGCGACTGTGCGAACCTCCCGCTCACCAGCAGGAAGAGGGCCCCTCTCTCCTCGGCCGTGAGCGGCACCACGCTCTCAAACCCCGCCAGAACGTGCCCCCCAACGCCCAGGGGCTCCGGGCTCTCGATCATCATGTACATGATGGCTATGGCCACCTCAAACACGTAATAGCCGTAGCTCATGTCGCTGAAGTCCAGGATGCCCGACACTCGGTACTGGGGGTTCTCCAGGGAAGCACAACTGGAGTCTACGAGGATGTTGTGGTCATTGAGATCTCCGTGATTGATACCTGAGCACAGGTGAAATAGAAACAGTGTTTAACAATCACTAAACAGCGGAATTTTTTTTTTTTTTCCCCGCTGCGTTTCTCAGTGGAACAGCTCTGAGAAGATGCACCCAAACTCCTGAAAGCATTTTCTGTATCTCATTTCAACGTAATTACAATGAGAATAAAATACTCACAGGCTCGAAAGCTGCTTAGCTTGGGTATCACTTTCCCTTTAAACTGCTCGATAACTTGTTCCACCACTGCACGGTATTTGTTCTGGCCCAAGGCATCAATGTACTGCTCCAGAAGAGGAACATTTGCCAGGTTCCAGATGAACTGACCTCGGTGCAGGCTTTTTACCGACGGATGATGGAATTTCTTGGGAAAAAGCACACAGGAAAAATAGGCGGTAAGTAAAAACGCCGAGTTTGTGATTAAAGGGCTTGATTCCAAGCCCCTGTAAACTTTAACAGGTTTCTAAGGAGACTCACAGAAAAGCACCATGACTTGCACTATTGCTTTTACATCAAGTAAAATAATAACCTGAAGAATGATTAAGGCATCTTAGTATCTACATAACAACCTGGATGTTGTTTTCTCCCATGGTTTAGACACAAAGGTTATATTAAATCATTTGCCACCGAAATCATCTGAAATTGCTGTGGTCTGTCCGTAGCGTGACGTGATGCAGGCACTCTGAGGCCCTGCCAAGGCAGAGCCCCAGGCTGGCAGTGCCCATCCTGCCCAGCTGGCACTGCAGAAAGACAGCACAGCAGCAGGGACACCAAACCTGCCAGCCTGCTGGGAACGGGCACACTCTGTGCTTTGGAAGGTGGGAGCAGCCTTAGGAGCAGCTGGAGTGTGACAAACCCTGGGGACAAGGGTTTGCAGACACTGACCATGACTTCATCCTCATGGGAATTTGCCTTTGTACCACCAGGCCTCAATATTTTAAACAAACAAAGTCCTCCACTCGGTGGCACATCCGAGCCACATCCACACAGACACCAGCAGAGGAGAAGATGGAGCACAGTCTGGCGCACAGATAATCCGTATGTTAAGGGCATACAGAGCCTTTTCCATCAGAATTTGCTTTCTCATCAAGTACTTCCTCCTGGGCAGGATCAGTCACAGGCATATTTTGAGACCAGCTCGTCTACATCAATTGCTTTAATCGCATTATAAGAGTGTGACCAGTGTGCCAAAAGGCAACAGTAAGTTATCTCCCCCAATTGAAAAATGGTTTTGTAATTTAAGAATGTGGTTAGCAAAGCTGGCAATTCACATTTCATAATAGTCTGAAGCTGGTGCTCAGAACATGAGAAGGAGAGGTTAATGAAAGGCAATAAATAATGCAAGAGTTCTTTTATGTATCAAACTTAATAACTGGCTGATTTATCAGCTTTATTATCCTGTATAATTACAGGCTAAAGGAAGAACTTACTATGCATTAAGACTGAGTGGTAGCAGTGCAAATGAGAGGTGCCACAGATCTCTGTTCGTTGGCACAGCTGGCACTGCGGGCAAGGAACCACCTGCTACCGATGTTAAATGATCACAGGGCTAATGACCAGGAGGGAGTCACCAAGTCAGAAAGAAATCCAGAGCAACAGATCAGCCAGCTGAGCACTACACAACAATCCTTCAAAAGCCTCTAATGGGAGCACCCTCGAGTTCATTCTCCTCATCTGCCAGGTTTGAAACCCTAAACAGGTGAGCTTTGCATAAGCGAAAGGAAACCCTGATCTCCCAGCACGTGGTACAAAAGTGCATTGCAAGAGCGTCACCAATACCAGGTCACCAGTCCTGTGCTGGGGAGAAGCTTCAGCAGCCCAGCTTGGAGGGGACACTGAGGGAAGATCAGTGACACCTGCACTCCCCAATCACGTTCTGCAGCCCAGGAGAGCAGGCAGCAGCACAGGAACAAATGCTGAGGAGACTCTGATGAAGTCTGAGGCTGCAGATGAGCACTCACCTCTGCGAGGGTTTTATCCAGGCTGGCAGCCAGTTTACCAATCTCATACAGGATCTGGGCATTGGTGGCAATTTTGGCCACCGGCGTTCCTGGCAGGTAGGTCAGCAGCCTGACCATGTGCTTCTTGTTCCCGGCACCTGACAAGCAAGGACAGATCTGTCAGTCACTTCCACCTGTGCTGTTGAGCATTAGTTAATGCAAGAGGCAATAAAGGTTTGTCCCAGCGTAGGAGTCAGCAGATGCAGCTGATGAAACAGATTTCATGCAAAGATTTGATTTACCAGGATGTTGTACAATGGTGTGCAAACCTTACCACACTTGCAGTCTATGCTGGATTTCAAGTCCTTGTGCTTGGGAGCGACTCTTGCCAACAGCAGGGTTCCTGCAGCGCCCACACACCCCCACTGACAGCTTTGCAGCAGAACAGAATCCCAGATTTTGTATGAAGGTTACAGTGACAGGAAAAGCCAAATATCAACCCAATTTTTTCTTCCAAGCACTGTCAAAGCAATTTTTTCTGGCTCCACAGATGGGTTAGAACTGTATTTTACACCATTCTGTAGGCAAACAATTCTGAGCATCACTTAGTCAATGATGCCTTTTTTATCCTTTTCTTGTGCACAGACACGCCACATCAATGTTTTATCCAATTCATTACACTGAAGTGACTTCCTAAGTGTTCTCATAGTTAATTATTACTCTCCTTGAGTTGCTTTGCTTCTGCTATTTTAAGCTTGGACTGTTATGGGTGTAAGACAGGTCACCTGACACACATCCCCCAGTATTTAAACATAAACCCAGAGTTTCCCTTTAGCCCATACTCAGTGTGCCACATGCTGAGCTCAGGGCGGGGCAGTGAAGGTGCTGGCAATCGCTCACCTCCCGACTCCAGAGACATTATGGAACCATCTCTCGTGAGATGAGGAGTAGCTGAAGGAAAGCCCTGGGCACTGAGAAACATCATGGCCTGGGTCTGCGCTTGGATGAGGTCGGGCTCCCGGCTGTCTTCCGAGTTGGTGATTTTGAGGACAAACTCATCAGCACCTCCAGCCCCGTCGCTGTTTCCCGAGACGCGCACGTGGAAGTTCTGATCGTCGTAGCTGGGCAGCGGCCTCAGCCAAGACACCTTTAATCCAAACACCCTGTCAACCAGTTCAGCTGCTTCCTTCTCACTCAGTGCCGGCTTGCTGAAAGTCTGGGGTCGACAGTCATTTCCAGAAGACATTGTCTCTAGGAGAAAAAGAGAACCTGGATGATCGGTAGGTACTCTGACATCAGAAACAGTAACTACTGCAATAAAATGCATTCAGCTGCTGCAGGAGGTTCCCAAAGAAAACCCACCAAGCCAGCTCAGGTTTTACATCACAGCTTATCAGCTGGTTAGGCTGTACTCCCCCAGGGAAAGACACCTAGAGCCATGCACTCCATCTGCTCACACCCAGCAGACCTGAGAAGCTCATTAACTGGGAGTACTTTTATTAGCTCGTTTCTAGCGGCAGCCTGACCTGGTATTGTTGACAGCTAGGAATGATTTCCTAAGGAGCAGAGTTGCTGAATCCCTGACCAGGAAGTTCTGAATCCACGTCTGCAAAAGACAAGAAACATTTTAGTAAATCCTATCGCGGCCTCCCAACCTCCCGCGCTCGGAAAGGCAGCACAAACCTGCAGCCGCCCGCGGGAATGCCGGGCTCGGCAACCAACCCTTGGACTCAGCGGGAGCGCCGCCAACCTTTGGCCGGCCCGGGGGGGCCGAGGGGCTGCGGGCAGGGCCAGCACGGGGGGCTCGCCAGCCCAGCCTCCCTCCCCGAGCCCGGCCCTGCCGCCCCTTCCCCCGCGGGCAGCGCTGGGAGCGCCCCGAGACACCCCCCGGGCTCGGCGATTGTCCCGCAGCATCGGCGAGGGGAGGGGAGGGCGAGACTTCCTGTCACGAAGGGAAAACGCTTTAAAAAAAAAAAACAATTGCTTCCGCAGCGACAGCAGAGAGGGAGGTGTGCGTTTGTTTTGGTGAAATCCTTTTGTCGGCACGGCAGATCCAAATCTGCCAACTGCTCAGACCGAAGGCTGGGCACGTGTAAATAACGAACCGGAAAGCATCTTGCTCGGGATGTCCTTTAGACTGAACCCGAGCTCAGGCTGAGACCACGTGTCCGGACCTAGAGAATCTTAGACTTAATGGCAAACCTCAAGATTAATAAAGAAATCTCTTCTGAAACTTCTAATGCAAAAAAAAAAAAAAGTAATCTACAATAGTTGAGATCCTGCTGTGACAGAATTAGGAACATGAAGAAAAAGGAATTTAGGAAAGGCATGCTGAAGTAAAAAAAGAAAAAAAAAACACAACAAAACAACCCAAACATCTTAATTACAAGTAAATCAGTTAAGAATCCTCTGTCCCATTATTTCAGTATTATTTGTAATATTAACAATTACTATATTAATTATAATTATAAAAATATTTACATAATTAATTATGTAAAAATAATATATACTTTATGTAATAATACATGAACTTGAAAACATTATTTTAATCAAACAGGCAATCCAGAAAAGGGAAACTATTTCCCCAAGAAACAAATTTCCCCCCTCCACTTTCAGAACAGATGTTACTGAAAGTGATTGGCCAACTATTCTCACCAGAAATCACACAGCTAAGTTCTTTTCCAAGAATAAAAGCCTCTCTCAACGCCTGTGCAAAGATCAGACGTGAGTAATTTAGCACCTGAATGTTGAATTCAAGCCTGAAAAGGTGAGTCTTCAGAGCTGGGTGAGTGTCAGACACCCCCAAATCACTGCTGAGGATCCTGTCACAGCTGTAACCTCGGCCAGTGCTCTCATTCAGGATTCCAGCCGGATTCTAAATCATTCACTGCCCTGAAGGGGAGAGAAAGGTCAGTCAGCAATCATTTGATACACCATCCAGACTGGTACCTGGAGCTCAGCTAACACAGACAATGTTTTCTACACCAGCTAAACGTGCTTAGCAAGCCCACGTGACAATCCTAACGTAATTACATCATACACAATATTATCCCTTTCCCGTATCCACCCCACCCTTCAGACACACAGTACCAATTCTGCTCAGAGAGTACCATACAAGAACTGTGATACAATTTTCTTTATTAAAAATAATTTACAGCGCTGGTAACACTTCACGCACAATTTTCATCAACTGAACTTCAGGTGTATCTACACCATACTTACTGAACTTAAAACTTACACTGTCCTGTTGGCTTTAAACAGCAGACATCGATTTGCAGTTGCTTAAATATGATTAATATGCTTGCTTTCATGTTCTTATACTTGGGGGTAAATTGTATAAACATCAACACTTTCCCAAAGCTTTGGAGTTTGGGACAAGGGAGGAGGAGGGAAGCAAGGAGAGAAAACATTTAGAAAAATTTAGAAAAATCAAAACGGAGACAGAAGTGTCTGCCAGTTCGCCTTGGCAGGGCTTGGGTCCCTGTGTCCTGAAGCAGCCAGAGAGGGTGGGAGGCTGAGATCCCTTCAAGCTTGAGCAGTTACACAAGTTGTAAACACGCCTGGAGTGGCAGTTTTATCATCTGCATCAGGCATCACAATGTGCCGGCGCTAAATTCCCACTTTCTCCCCGATAATGTACATTTCCTTGAACTAAACCAAGAATGTTTGAGCTGGGATGAAATAGCATGAGACACTTGTCCAAGGAGCAAGATCTGCTCAGTCCCTCTGGAGAGAATCCCTGGAGTGTAGCACAGAGCAGGGACTGAGCATCAGCTGGACACCGTCACCAAACCTGCATCCACCGATCCCCCTCAGCAGCGGCAGGAGGCACCGGAAGGGTTTTCATCCCACCTAAAAGGAAACCACATCAAACCAGTGAAACATAAAACCAGATTATACACAACTTCAAACTTTAGTGCTCTTGGTTGAATAAAGTAGGAAAAGATACATTGAAGTTTTGTCAGTGAAGTCAAATTAGTTTGGCCTTTGAACTGTCAAAAAATGAATACACAGTAATCATATAATTGTGAGAGGTTTCGGGGGTTTTGTTTGGGTTTTTTTTAAGGAATGTCAAACATACTATTTAAAGAATTAAACAGTGCATCTGTTAGTTTGCAAGTCAGCTAGCTTAGTGTCTGGTTATAAATTAAAAGCACAAGTCAACTAATATTTTTAAATTTAAGACAACATTTATCAAGAACAAAAGATCTTCCCGCAGAAGGCAAGTATTGCAGTTTCGTTCTCCAGCAGAAATTCATCTCCACACAAACCCTGAGAGGTGTTGGGAAGCTTTCCAGGCTCCAGGAGCTCAGCAGGAAGGGGTTGGAGCTGCACTGCCCGCCCAGCTCGGACACCCCAGCGCGGGGAAGTGGCAACACGAGTGGTTCTGCAGCAACTCTGCACCCTCTGCTGACCTGAACTGGGGGGCAGGGGCTTCTCCCCCGTGAGCTGCAGCCACAGCTCCTGCAGTGCCACGAGGGACAGGGGGGGTCAGCGCTCTGGGATCTTCCACGGGGGACTGGGACCTGAGGGAGCAGCCAAAGGCAGAGGGGCTTGAACATCTGACAAGTACAGCCGGTTAGACACAGGTTGGAGTTAAAGCAGAGGGATTCCAACAGTCCTATGAAATGTTTCACAAGGTTTTGAAAGGCTGAAACACCGCAGGGAGGTGCTTTGTTTGATGATACTGCAGAGACAGCACAGGGAAATCTGATGCCACAAACGACAAACTGCACCCCTTGAAGCAAATGACAAACAGGACTTCACCTGCACGAACCAAACAACTGCCAGCTTGGATTTGAAACGCACAAGTGTTTGCCAGATTTCGAAGCACACAACATTTCATAGCTTGAGCAGTTTTAAATCTGGATCCAGGTGAAATATAATCCCATAATAAAGGTAAGGAAGTCATCATCTGGGATACAGGATACCACAGGCCTCACATGGACTGCTTTTTGTTCAGCCCATGACCTGAAGAACAAGAAATTCAAAAACTCAGCATCTTTTTTTAAGCTCTAAATCAAAACAAAACAAAACAAAAACAATCCTGTTTGGCCTTTAAGATTCCACGCCATCTGCCACCCTTAAACCAACAAACAGCAGCACACGGATTTACAGGTGCAAAAACTGAGGGGAAACAACTGCAGCAAAGCAAATCTTCTTACATAATAATCTTCAGCACAATCAGTTTCTGATTTCGCATAGTTTATTTACAAAATGGTCTGATAAAACATCCCCTCCATACTTACAGCTCTCTGCCACAATACACACGTTGATTTTAGCAATGTTTAATAGCACCATTAGAATATTATTTAAAATCAGAAAAGGATCTCGTTGCAGTTACAATGATTCACAATCTTTTACATCCATGGACGAAGTAACTTGGAGCACACTAGGACTGTTTGCAGTTCCACAGTACAGAGTCCTGGGTTCACACAAGGCATTTGCAGAGTTACCAGTTATGCAAGGGACCCAGACAGTCAGCAGCTACTATAAGAATCTCCGAGCCACAAAGTTCAGACTTCCACCATACTTGTATAAAGTGACCTCCGTGTTGTTCTCGAACAAGGCAATCACGCTGAAGACTTTCCCAGTGCTCGTCTTCAAAACAAAAGCGGAAAAAAAACAGAAGCTAATTAAGTTTTGCTTTCACTTCTCCTTGCTTATTACCAGTTAACATTTAACCCCACGTCCTGTTGCACACAAGGGAATTCAACCCTCTGGGAGCAGATGGGAGGCTTTGGTGCCCAGTGTAGATGGAGCTGGGAGCAGGTGATGTGCCTGCTGTAACCAGGTTTCCACGGCCCTAAGGTGGCACCAACTGTTCTGGGAGAGCCAAAGCCTCTCTCCAATCATCACACCTTTGTCTTTAAAAGCCCCCGAACGAGCAACAACTCAATTCTACCCTAATACAGCGCCCAGGAGAGGCAAAACAACGCCCAAAGGAACAATCAGGTACTTCAGGTTGCGTGCAAAGTTGTGTCGAAAGAACGTGTGTATGTGCTTTGGGACACTCCAACAGCCATGCCCACCTGCAGGCAGCACGAGGAGCTTACACAAACATTGCCAAGATACCTTAACATCCAAAGCCATCCTGGGCGACAGCTCCGGAGGGAACAATATGGAAAACTGCTCTTTGCCCGTGAGGCCCAGGGTGCTGGGGTTTTCCCCCGGGTGGAACTGCAGCGGAGCGATGCCGATCCCGATCAGCTGACTGCGGTGAACCTTCTCGAAGCTCTCGGCCAGCACAGCTCTGACCCCCTGGGAACACACGGGAACAGCCACTGAGACCTCAAACACACGGCACGTCCACAGTCCTGCCACTCCAACGGGGAGGGAAGACACAGCTTGAACCAGAGTCCTCCAAGTGCCCCGGGGCATCTTTTGAATTTACAGCAGATGGAAGCAAACAAGCCCGAGCTGGCCAGCGGAGTGTGACCTGGGGCTGTCACAGACAGTGACCTTGCAGGACATGAATCAGTGGCTGACCATTATTATTCTGAATATTAGTGGGAATCGGTCTCCAGTAGTGAGATACTGAACACCCCCTGGAGACCAAAGAGAGGTCAGCACTAGATAAATGTCTAATTTATCTCCAAGTCTGGTACCCAAGAGGGGAAGTTGCATAATTAGGAAA